CCTTCTCAAGTCTGCACAGCAAAATGAGCTACTTGCCGTCATTCAACTACTCAAGGATGAGCCTGCTTCTTTTAATCTTGTCACAGATTCACAATATGTGGCCAAGTTTCTTCCTTTAATAGAGACTGTGACACTGTTCTTAAGGGAGACTCCAATTATTTTTCTTTACTGAGTTACAAAAGGAGGTGTGGGGGGGAAGAAGCTCCCCCTTTTTGTGATGCGTATCAGGGCCCAGCCATTTATCCCAGGGAAACGATTCTGTAGATCAGCTGATTACTCCTTTACTCATTCAAAGTACATATTGGCATAAGTTAACACATGCCAATGCTCCTGGCTTTCCAGACAAAATTTCATTTGACTCACACTCAGGCTCAATCCATTATCGCAGCCTGCCCTACCTGTGCCCCAATTACCCCATCCTCTTTTTCTCCTGGAACCAACCCTAGAGGTTTAAAACCTAATGATATCTGTCAAATGGATGGTACTTATTATCCATCTTTTGGTTGATTAAACTTTATACATGTCACAATTGACACCTTTTCTGGTTTTATTTGGGCTACACCTTTATCCAGAGAAAATTCTAATCATGTAATCACCCATCTTCTTTCCTGCTTCGCTGCTCGGGGTGTTCCTTCTACTATAAAAACAGACAATGGCCGGGCGCTGGGGCTCCCACCTGTAATCCTAGCTACTTAGGAGGCTGAGATCTGAGGATCACGATTCAAAGCCAGCCGGGGCAGGAAAGACCATGAGACTCCAATCTACAATAAACCACCAGACAACCGGAAGTGGCCCTGTGGCTCAAGTGGTAGAGCGCTCGCCTTGAGCTGAAGAGCTGAGGGACAGTGCCCAAGCCCAGAGTTCAAGCCTCATGACCAAAAAAAAAGGCAATGCCCCTGCCTATACTAGTACTAAATTGCAAACCTTCCTAAATAAGTGGCAAATTGAACCTATTACATGAATCCCTTATAATCCACAAGGTCAAGCCATTGTGGAATGCAGTAATTTTACACTGAAGTCCCAATTAAATAAACAAAAAAGGGGGATAGGTATAAATCACTGGACTCCCAAAGAACAGATTGCAATGGCATTAAAATATTCTTCATTTTGAAATTTTAAATTTTCCATCCAACACTTCAGCAGCAGATAAATACTGGAAAGACCTGGAAAAACTCCAATCTTCATGTCAACTACATGGTAGAACGATGACAACGATAAGAACTGGAAACCCGGAACCGTCCAAGTATGGGGCCATGGCTATGGCTGTGTGTCCACAGGTTCAGCGGACATCTGGCTACCAGCTGAGAAACTAAAACCCAGAAATGAAGAGAAAATCATCCAACATCGAGGAGCCTCTGGAAGAGGTCCTCAAGATGAGGATAAGCCGGGTGCCAGTGATTCACGCCTGTCATCCTAGCTACTCAAGAGGCTGAGATCTGAAGGCCCCAGAAAGGGCAGGAAAGTCCGTGAGACTCTGATCTCCAATAAGCCACCATAAAACCGGAAGTGGTGCTATGGCTCAAGTGGTAGAGCGCTTGCCTTGAGCTGAAGAGCTGAGGGACAGCACCCAGGCCCAGAGTTCAAGTCCCACGACTGAAAAAAAAAAAAAAAAAAAAAGAGGACAGCTAAAGGCCTAAGGAGAATAGAGAAAACCAGATCTGCAACCATTCCCACCTGGGGACAGATGAAGCTTTCCCAAGAAGCTGAGAGATGCTTAAAGGACAGGAAATTAATGCCGTATCTTCGTTTATGATGATGGTGGCACTTATTCATACTGCTAGTGCCTCTTGCTCAGTACAAGCCTGTTTGGGGGGTTCCTATGCTGGGTAAATCATTGTACTTGAATTGTACTGTGATACGTAACAACTCAGAAACTGGACCTGTTTGTTGGTATAGAGTTAAAATATTTAGTCAGAGGCTGGGAAGTTGGCTCAGTGGTAAAGTGCTTGTCTTGTATGCATGAGGCCCTGGATTTGGTTCCTCAGCACCACACAAGCAGAAAAAAAGCCAGAAGTGGCGCTGTAGCTCAAGTGGCAGGGCACTATCCTTAAGCTGGAGAGCTGAGGGACAGTGCCCAGACCCAGGTTCAGCCCCCACGACCAACAAAACAAACAAACTTAGTAAAAAAAAAAAAAAAAAGTTTGAAGGGCCTTGGATGAACATCTCTGGTCAATTTAAGAGAAATAATATCCAACTTGGTATAAGCTGATGGACTCCCCCGAGGATGAAGGAGAATACAACTTTCAAAATACAAGGTGTTTTGTTTTATTTTTGTTGGTGCCCAGCTAAGACAATGTTCTTATTTGGGAAATGTCACCGTACATGTGGTCCCTGAGTCAGAAATTACCAGTTCTCTAAACCTATGCCTTCAATTGGCCATTGATACCATGAATAAAACCTTTTGTGTTAGGGAAGGCACTTCAGTGCAAAATAGCCCAACACAGAATTGAGTAGGACTTGCTGTCAGTTAGGAAGGGTACAAAAATGGAACTCAGGATGAAATTAGTCAGCAAGAAGATGAGAGCTTAAAGCTGGGAGCCGGTGGCTCACGCCTGTAATCTTAGCTACTCAGGAGGCTAAGATCTGAGGATCATGGTTCAAAGCCAGCCCAGGCAGAAAAGGCTGTGAGCCTCTTATTTCCAATAAACCACTAGAGGGCTGGGAAGATGGCTCAGTGGTAGAGCGCTTGCCTTGGATGCATGAGGCTCTGGGTTCGATTCCTCAGCACCACATAAGCAAAAAGTAAAAAGCTGGAAGTGGCGCTGTGGCTCAAGTGGTAGAACGCTAGCCTTGAGCTGAAGAGCTGAGGGCAGTGTCCAGGCCCAGAGTTCAGGCCCACGACCGGACCCAAAAATTAAAAAAAAAAAAATTAAAAAAAAAAAAAGAGTCTCATGGACTTTCCAATAAACCACTAGAAAACCGGAAGTGGCACTGTGGCTCAAGTGGTTGAGTGCTCGTCTTGAGCTGAAGAGTGCAGGGACAGCGCCCAGGCCCAGAGTTCAAGCCCCACAACTGATGGAAAAAAAAAAAAAAAAAAGATGATATCGTAGAGAAGAACCTTGGGATCTGTTGCCAGCGGGAAGCTACAGGTCCCTGGTACCCCAAATCTTAGTTGCACAGTGCAGTCTCCTTTACTGTGTTGCTCCCTGTCACGGTGGATTAAGGAGCACGCAGCAGGTTGCAACCCTAGATGATAGGGTCTCCCAAAAATTTCCTTCCAGACTATCCCCAAACTGTGATCCTCCAGCTCTCTAACTCCTCAATCTCCAGTTCCCATTGCTGTCCCTGGACTACACGGGATGACATAAACATGTTCAATGTGTATTTCACATTTTAATCTGGTTAATTGTGAAGAACATATAACAAAAATAAAATAATTTACATGTCAGAAAAAAAAGAAGCACTGTACTCATAACCTGACATACAGAATCGTAATCTCTTTGTATAACTACTTAATAAAAGGGAAAAACGGTTTAGCTGGGGACAGTGCTCAGCAATAAAGCACTTGTCTGTCACGGAAGAGTTGCTGGGTTTTATCCCCAACAACACAAAAATATTAGTCGAGCAAGTCAGCCTTTGAACTTTGCAGGCCCACTGCTGTCTGTTACCAGCAGCCCAGCCCAAGTAGCCAATAGGTTCACCTGTAGGGCCAACAGCAATCAATCAGTGACAGCTGGTTAAGATTAGTCTGTGATTCTGAAACCAAGTACAGGCTCAGAGGAGATGCATAGAGTGATTGGAAAAGTCTACCACAGCATAAACTGAAAGTGGTGCCTGTATGTGGCTTTGTAAAGAGCGCTAGAGTTCCAGGGATCAGGAGATGCCATAGTAAGCCTTCTGGTATCTGTGTCATCCCATAGCTAACTGCTTCTAAGGTCTTGGTCAGTCACATAATTTCCTTTGTGAAAAATCGCAACCACCTCTGCTAAAGATTTAAGGGCCAGGCACAGTTCTGAGCCGCAGTGCAAGTTACCATATCATTTTATACAGGAGGAAACTGACATCCAGGGAGGTTAAATAATTTGACCAAGAGCACTCAGCCAAACAACTGTTCCTTCAGATCTGAAACCCTGAGGGTTTCTAGGAGAAGCCTTGGCCTACAGCCCTCCACCTGGCCAGGCCACCCTGTCACTGGGCAGAGATTGCTCTGCACTGTGGGAACAATACCTTCTGACCAGCCACCTCCATGTCCTTCCAACTGCCCCGTCAAGCAGTGCCAGTTTTCTGGCCCTGCCACCAGAAGCCTCGGAAGCTCATCTCCCTTCCGTTAGGAAGGAGTGGACACACTTGAGTGGATGTCAGACTCACCTGAGGAATGGGTTTAAAATACAAGTCCCCAGACCCCAGGGTCTGAAGCAGGGCCCACTCGTGGAAGGTGTGGTCCTGGACCGCATTCAAAGGAAATCTGGCCTGGTGGGGGTGGGAGATCAGATGCTCAAAAGCCAGGACCAGGGATGCACCTGGACGTCCCACGGCCCGAGATCCCTTCCTGTCTTCGCTTCTCCACACCACGCAAGGCCCCACAGAAGACAGCAGAAACGGAGCTACAAGTTCGGTCTGGCCCCGCTCGCAAGCGAGGCAGCAGGGTGGGAGCCGGGCGCCGGTCCCAGCTGTGTGTCCATCCGTCCAGTTCAACGCCACTTCCTCCCCCGCGGCTCGGGTCCCGGGCCGTTTATCGGAGAGACGGGAGACGCCGGCAGGTGCCCTGCGGCCATTCTCACGACCGCCGACACTCGAGCGGTGCACCCGGCGCCTCCGAGGCGGCGAGCGGGGACTGGCCCAAGGTGACCCGTGGCGAAGGGGCCGCGGCCGGCCCGGCTCCGGCCAGGCCCCCGCAGGGCCGCAGCCGGGAGGCGCGGGGCTCCGCGGGGCCCGGGGCGGGGGGGACAGGGAGGGTCCCAGGCCGCGCCGGGCGCCCGCGCCGCGCCTCCCCGCGCCCCCACCACACCCCCGGCCCGCGCTCCGGCCCGCGCCCCTGCGGTCCGCGCCGCGGCACTCACCGGACTTCGGAGGGTAGCGATAGGCCGAGTTCGCCTGGATGTCGATGTCTTCCACCCCCGCGATGCGACGGCTCAGGATGGAACCCATGGTGCGCGGCACTGCCCGCCGAGCCGGGGCTGGGAGGGGGAGCGGGAGCGAGGAGACGGCGGCCGCGACCTCCTCAGAGCGACATCGCCCTGACCAGGCCGCACGGACGCGCGTCCACTGCCCCGGCGGCGCCCCGCCCCCGCCCCGGCCCGCTGGAGCCCGACGCGGCGCCCCGCCCCCGGACTGACGCCCCCTGGGAAACAGAGTCCACTCCAGCGGAGCCGCGGCGCCACCAACGCGTGGACACACTACATCTCCCAGGGTGCTCCGCGCGCGACGGGCCTCCGGGGAAAAACCAAGGGGCCCGGGCAGAGGGAAGTCCAGCCTCCGGCCGCGCTCGGAGAAGCCTTCCCCGCTCGGCCCCCTCGCGGAACTGAGCTCAGAACTCGTCGATCCCCTCCGGCATCGGTTTGTATGCAGACCCTGGTGTGGAAACAGCGCCTCGCGTTCGCACCCCCACACCTAAACATCTTCCCGAGCCACGGCGGCTCCCCCACTTCCCAGGGCCGGCAGAGGGTGCACCTTTACCTGCCGGGCGGAGAGACCCGGTGACCCCGCCCGCCGGCCCGGGGCGCGGCTCGCGGGACGCCGTCCGAGCACCTGCGGCCAGCACCTGCTGGAGCTGGACCCCGCCCGTATTTACACACGCGTGCGACTTGTGGGTGCGGACGCGGGAGGGAAACACTGGGCAAGAGCCAGCGAAGGGGCGACTCCGTTCAAAAAGAAACGCGCTCTACCTGACTCACCTAACCCTTTATGAGAACGGTTTTTAAAAAAGAAAAAAAAGCATCTCTTAGGCCCCCACGTCCTTGAACTATTACCTTGAAGACTCGACTTTTCGGCCCCGCCCACCACGAAAGACTGGACCATGGAAACTGAGGCACAAACGCGGCAGGTATGGCTGAAAGCCAGTTTGCAACCATCAGGGTCAGGGTTGAAACCTCACAGGTTGCAGTTAATTTCCTGACTTTTGACTCACACCTCTGTTGCAAGAGACCGAAGGAAGGTCCGTTACCACTCCCTTTCCCAGTTGAGGAACTGGGTTTCCAAGAAAAGTGTTCCCCAATCCACGCTGTGTGGAGAGAGCAGCTAGGAAGGCCAGCAGCAGGCCAAAGTTTCAGGTGGTAAATTCACCATTGTCCATGGTTAAAATGTCCTATACCTTTTGTGGGGGAAGGGGGGCAGCTAGAATCCAGTGTTCCTTGTCAGAAGATCTTGGAATGACACATTAGAAGTGTGAGGTGCCTGCCTACTTGTGTGGCCATTATTGTGCTGGGCGCCTTGTTCAGAACCCCACTTAGTTCTCTTATAGGGAAATTGTTTTTCTCCACAGTACAAGGGATTGAACCTAGGGCCTTAACCATGCTAAGGGAGCACTCATGCCACTTTATGCCTTTACCCTGTAAATTCTTCTGTTTTTCATCCAAATTTAAAGAGGCTTTTATGAGTACCCACTCCAGTTCACAGTGAATGGTACGATAAAGCTGGAATTTGTGTTACCTACCACTTCCCTTTCTCCCAAACAGGAATGGGCTATGTACCAGATTTCAAGTCCTGTGAAAAAGGCCCCATTTAAGGTGGCTTGGAGGACAGCTACCAATGTCCAGATGGAATGAGGAAGTTAGTCTAGGTGTGGAAATAAGCCATATGGCACACAGGTAGGAGAAAATCCAAGGACTCAAAGTATTCCCACTCAAGAGCAAAATTTAAACCGTGGTTGACAGCCAATAAATTCCACAAAACAGGACATAGGCAATCAAAAGTAAGCTAATCAAAGACATGGAACCCACTCCCACCCTGTCTCTGCTTTTTCTACCTGCATCCTATCCTTGTCTTGGTACATTCTCCTACCAGCCCAATTTACACAACTCCCACTCAGTGTGGTCTTTCCTTTTAAAAAATTCCTTTCCATTGACTCCTATATACACTTTCAGATGCATACTGACAAAAATCTATGATTTAATTAATGGCCCTTGCTGATCCTGCAGAGGGAGGGGTCCTGAAGTCCGACCTAGTCGAGTGAAAAACAGCCAACAGCATATCTTCCCTGTAGGCCTGGACTAAGGCAGGTATTTCACTGGCAAGACCTTTCATTAAGTCTTCTCACAGAAATGAGGAAACCTTTTCTCTGCCAAAAGCTATTTGGATATTTATAACATCACTCCAGAGCCTAGATTTATTGCATTTCATTTTGAAACAAGCTCCTAGACTGTTTCAAGTCCTGCTTGTGGTTATCTTGACAGGGCCAAACTACACGATTTTGAGGGTTTCCTAAGCAGTCCAGGCTGGACCTCCCTCACCCCTGTGGACTCAAGGTGGGGTCGGTGCTCTCCCAGCAGTATTTTTCTGTGTTTAGCCACACTTAGCTGAGAGATAAGGTCTTCCCGATTGGGCCCACGGTCCACTATCATCTCACGTGATTCATCTGTTTATGGAACAAATATTTATCATCTAACTACTATGTGGTAGGTAATGAGGCAAGATGGAGGTAGGTAATGAGGCAAGATGGAATGATGGGACATGCTAGACAAGGACTTGAAACCTAAGGAAGAAACAAGACACCCTCCATTGCCTATCCAGGCAAATTTCCGCAAGGTCCTCAACCTCCCTGGCCCCAAATAGAATCTAGAAATGCCTTCCCACCCACTACCCCATCTCCTGGCCACAGCTGTCAGGTCCCATACCTGCCTGCTAAGAAATCCAAAGTCCAGGCTCCTTCTAGCTGAAAAACAAGGTATTTCTTTTTTCTTTCCTTGCCAGCGTTAGGAAAACAAGCTGGCTGGGGAGGGAAGTAGGTTGACCCTTTACTCCAGTCAGTTGGACTTCACCCCTTGCAAGATTAGCCTAGGAGAGCTCCTACGCTAGGCAAACCACTTGCTCTGAAAGCCAGTTTTAAGACTGAGTTTGTCTCTCTTTCCTTGTGTGTAAAATGAGGTTTGGGCTTCCACGGGTGGTCTAGGAGGCGGCAAAAGGGCTGAGAGCTAGAACTGGTTCACCATCAGCAAGGAGAGTCTGGGAGATTTCCACACGAGAGAGGAAACAGACTAAAGCATTCCGGACCGACACCCAGGTCTGTCTGACTCGCCAGCCTGCCCACTTTCCACCAAGCTTTATTGCAGTTCCCATGGCAACCAGGGAATTGGAAATCATCCTTGAGGTGCCTCTTCTTGTGTGCTGAGTGCTTTGTTCCCGACAGAAACACAGGCCCATTCTAGGAGGAGGAAGGAAGAGAAAGGAAGAGGAGAGGGAGGAAGAAGAAAAAAGGAGGAATAAACCCTAGCCAACGTGGTAAAGTGTCTGAACCCCCGCTTCCGCCAGGGCTGAGGGACCTCGGGCCAAGCACCCAGCTTCGGCCCTCTAACAAGCTAACCCCCATTTCCTCCTCAATCCTCCGGGCTATCTAGGGACCCAGCATCCGTACCCTCTACCCCAGTCAGTCCCCCCACCATCCTCCTCCCACCACCCCAACGGAGGAGACTCCGGCAGGAACCAGCTCGGACGAAGCCCGGCCGGGCGCGCGCACTTCCTCGGGGAGCTCCGCACGTGGGCACAGCCGCGCCCCTCCCCGCAGCCCTTTCCCCAGAAGCCAAGTCAGGGCCAGGAGCAGAACTAAGGACCCCCCCCCCCCAACGGGCTAGAACCACACCAGGGCCACTCAGCGGGGGCGTCGACGCCAGCCCGCAACCTTCCCGCGCGTCCTGACCCCGCAACCAGCCCCAACGTCCTTCCACTCGCGACGTCGACCGGAAGCGGCATGCGGAGGCTGTAAACACGGCCCGCGACGTGCCCCCCCACCCCGCTCCCGGCCCCGCCCCCGACACGTGACGTACCCCCTGCCCGCCCCCGCCGCCACCTCATTGGACAGCCAGCTTTGTTTACCTTATATGGCCAGGTCCTAACACCCCATGGCGGGCCATTGGCCGAGGGACGGCCTCACTCAGCTGACGTCACCCGAGAAAGAACGGTGCAAATAAACCAGAGCATTCTGGGAAATGGAGTCCTGAGCCGCTCCGGAAGTGTCTCCGCGGGGTCCTGGCGTCCGCTGGCTGCGTTGTGCGTGGGAAAGTGGGTGCTGCTGCGCCGGAGGCTGTCGGCCCGGCCTGCCCGTCCCGGGGGCCATCCCGTCCCTTGACGCTCCCGCCGTGTGGCATGATCGAGAGCCAGGCCGGGTTGGAGAGGGTTGGGGGGAAGGTTGATGCGAAGTGTAACACTGCCCGCCCCACACCGGAAGGCTTCCCGGAGGCAGTGACTTGGAGCATCGCCTGGAAAGGCAGACTCTCTCGTTCATAATATTAAAAGTTGGCATGTACTGTGTACTGGGCATCCAGGGCCTCTGCCCCTTCCCTCCCCCCTCTCCCCCTCCCCCCCTGCCGGGGCCGCCTGGCGGCGGGGGCGGCGCGGACTACAGATCCCAGCATGCCCCGGCGCGCGCGGGGCGGCGAGGCGCGTTGAGTCAGAGCGCACAGTAAATATTTGTATTAGCCGGGGCCGGCTCGCTAATGGTGGACGCGTGAGGCGGAGGCGCGAGCGCGGGGAGGCCGGAGCGGGCAGCGCGGCGGCGGCGGCGGCGGCGCCATGTCCGTGAACATGGACGAGCTGAAGCACCAGGTCATGATCAACCAGTTCGTGCTGACGGCGGGCTGCGCGGCCGACCAGGCGAAGCAGCTGCTGCAGGCGGCCCACTGGCAGTTCGAGGTGCGCGCGGGGGCGGGCGCGGACTCGTGGCGGGGTGCCGGCCGCAGACTCCGCCCGGCGGCCAGGCCCGGGCCCCCGACGGGCCTCCGTCCCCGGTGTGTATGTGTGTGTTGGGGGGGACGACCCCACCCCCGCGATTCGGACGCGGAGCCGTCCTCCCTCCCCCCGTCCCCCTTTGTCCGGGTAACGGCCGAGGGCGGGCCGGCCGGCCGGAAGGAGGACTCCGGGGGGCCTGGCGGGGCGAGCGGGGGTCCGGGAGGGCGGAGCCGCGGCGAAGCCTGCGCCCCGAAGGTCTCGGTGGGCCCGGGGGGGGGGGCGGCGGCCCGCGGCGTGTGCGCACACCTCCATGTGCATCTGTGTTTACGCACGCCCGGCGCCTGGGCGTCAGCGGGGCACTGCGGGGGGCGCGGGGCGCGGGTCCGGGCGGCTGTCCGGGGATGTGTTGGGGGGGGGGGAGAGACGCGCGTGGTGGTGTTCGGGGCGTGCTCTTGCGTGTGCGCCCGTGGCGCCCGCGCACCGGGCCCGGGGTGCGGGGTGTGTGTGTACACACGGCGTGGAGAGTCTGGGCGGCGCGCCGGGGCCTCCCACTCCCGCGTGGGGGCCGTGTGTGCCGGTGTACCCCGCCTCCGAGGGGGCGGCCGCGGGAAGTGATGTACACAGGTCACTAGTTTTCATGTCACCTGAGCTGGAGGGGAGGTTTGCCCGCGTCTGGCCCCCACCCCAGCTCTCTCCAGATCTGTAGGACAGTAGCGTCCACGGCGGTTGGTGCCGTCTGACCCCTCTGTAATGCCCAGACCCCGGAATTCAATCCATGGTGGCTTCCGGGAATGGGGCCAGAGCCGCTGGAGCTGTGCCCCCGTCCCAGGTATAGGGTTGGGGGCCGAGAGGCTGTTTTCCCAATGAGTGCCATGCCCAGGACAGGTGTTTGGACCTCCAGGGAGAACCAAGACAGGCTCAGGTTCTCCACTTCCTGAGGTGGGGATCAGAATGCCCCTCTGCCAAGGAAAGCGGTGGCTCTTTCCGGGCATTGCTCCCCGTGGCCTAATAAAGAGACCACTAGGCCAAAGGGGAGCCTGCTTTCTCTGGCCCCTTTTGCCTGGGGCACGGGGGGGGGGGGGGGCTCGACCGTGTAGTCTGCTAGCCCTGTTACCGGCTGGGTCCCTCCCTCCTGCATCTCTGCCCATCTCTCCAGCTACCCCCTCACCGACCCTGTTGGTCTCTAGGATCTGGCAGAACTAGCAAAACCACATTTGTGACAGTTTGGTCCCATTACAGGGCTCCCTGTATGCCTGGGGCTGGGATCCGCAGTGGGAAGTGAGCTCACCCCTCAGGCAGAATGGGTTGGAGTGAAAATGTAGCTTTGAAAATTGGGGTCGGCTAGAAACATCCTGCAGCCTGGTAACCCCATCCTGCTATTCTGGTAACCCCAGAATAGCAGCTCTGTGCCTTTGGTTGTGAGACTCAGTTTTACCGCCTATAAAATGGGGGAGAGGGGTTGGATAAGGAGAGAAACCCCAGTCCTCTGCCTCCAGTGAGGGGTTTCTTATGGCTAGCCCTTCCCCCTCCAGGCCACCTCCCACCTGGCTGGCGTGCCCAGCAGGCAGTGTTTCTGGGTCACGTTCTCGGATTCAGGTGCTAATGGGGGCAGAGGCTGCTGGGGGAGGGGACCTCTGCTATCTGGGCAAATGTTTCTCAATGGAGAACTCACGCGCATTAGTCTTTGGGGTTTTGAGTTTTGAGCCTGGGCTAGGGGAGCAGCTACCTGGCCCAGGGGTCTTGGTGTTAGGGAAGTTGCCCAGAGACTAGCTCCCACATCATTGTTTGGGGACACCCAGACAGGGTGGATAGGGTGGCTGCAGCAGGAAATTCCCAGAATAATTCATTCAAATAACTTCAACATTCACACAGAACTAGGAGGACAAGCCCTGGGGGCCAGGCTGGGTTTCTGGGTGTGTTGAGCTAGGGAGGAGGCAGAGAATTGTGCTGGCATTGGGCCGCACCAGCTGAGCATAGATCTGAGGGGTAACAGTGACTCCAGGCCTGGGCCTGGCTATGCTGGGCCCTGAGGACCAGCCACCCTGTACTTCCACAAGAACAGCTGTTCCCTCATTTCTGGCAGGGGCTCCTCAAGGCCTGCCTGCTGGAGAACCTCTCCCCTGCTCTGTCACAGCTCTGGACAGAGTCAGGCTGTTCCTTGCTGTGGTTTACTTTCTGCTTCTTTACCCTCTACCCTCTTGGCCAGTTTTGGGTTTTGTTGTTGTTGTTTTTTCAGACGTGGGGCTTGAACTCTGGGCCTGGGCACTGTCTCTGAGCTCTGCAGCTCAAGGCGAGAGCTCTACCACTTGCGCCACAGCACCACTTCCTGTTTTCTGGTGGTTCATTGGAGATAAGTCTCATGGACTTTCCTGCCCAGGCTGACTTTGAACTACAATCCTCAGATCTCAACCTCCTGAGTAGCTAGGATGACAGGCATGAGCCCCGGGCACCTGGCTCGATGACAGGCATGAGCCCCGGGCACCTGGCTCTCTTTGCCAGTCTTAAGGGTTTTGCCTGGAGTCTCAGTCCTGGGTCCTAATCCCACCTCTGCCTCCTGCTCACCAAGCAACCCTCACTTTCTCTGTACAATGGGGGATACCATTGACAGCCTTTGGGATAATGGTGGTGACAGTGAGTGCACTAGTTTTTAGTTTTGACTGATGGAGCCCTGCTCCAAAAGGGGCAGTAGGGTGCCACATGTCACTGCCATGTCCAGTGGCAGGCTCACTGCTAGGCTTGTGGTCCTGCTCACCACCTGAGGCCATTCCTTAGAGGCACACACACACACACACACAATTCCAGGCCCTCACAATTACAGTGTGGGAACCTGGAGGCCTCCTAGTCACACAAGTGGAAAAACAGACTTGGACAGATCGATGGCCACGTGGTCAGCCAGGGACAGAGCTGTGAGAGAGAGCTGGGATGAGAAGCAGGGCTCAGACTCATTTTTCAAGTTCCCCTGGTTCATACATGAGGAAACTAAGGTCTAGAGAAGGGTAGGAACTTGCCATACATCAAGGTGCTGACAGAATGAAGGCTGAGAACCAGCTGGGCTAGTTAAGGGTCATACCACCTCTCCTCATGACACAGGGTAAGGGTATTTACCACCTGTCCCCCAGAGCCATGGTGACAGCTCTGTCCCTGCTGGCTTAGCCACCCCAGCCCGCCCTACCCCCCTGGGCAGGCTGGGTCTGAGAGGTAAGCTCAGCCTTTCTCCCTGCAGACGGCCCTCAGCGCCTTTTTCCAGGAGACTAACATCCCCTACAGCCACCACCACCACCAGATGGTAAGTGTCCCTGGAGACCTGAGGGTGGCTGGGGTGGAGGACAGGGGTGCATGCGCCCAGGACCTGGTGGGCAGCCTGGATTGAGCTTTGGGGACACTTCCAAAGCAGAGGGCTGAGGAAACCTTGTGATCCCCGAGTAGGAAGAGGGCACGCAATGTGCCCGGTTACACACCCTCCGTGGGGGAGCCTGCTTCTAGCTTTCCTCGTGGGCCTGGATGCCGGCCAGGCACAGGACAGCGCACGCTCAGCTCTCCTCTCCTTTCTTCCCCCACAGATGTGCACTCCCGCCAACACCCCCGCCACGCCCCCCAACTTCCCCGATGCCCTCACCATGTTCTCTCGTCTCAAGGCCTCTGAGAGCTTCCACGGCGGCGGCGGCAGTCCGATGGCCACAGCCACGTCGCCCCCGCCGCACTTCCCGCATGCCGCCAACGGCAGCTTCGCCACCCCCAGCTGGCCAACCACAGCCTCGCCCCCCGGGGGCCCACAGCACCACCAGCCGCAGCCGCCCCTGTGGACTCCGGCACCCCCTTCCCCAGCTTCAGACTGGCCACCCCTGGCCCCCCAACAGGCCACCTCGGAACCGAAGGCCCACCCGGCCATGGAGGCGGAGAGATAAGGGAGGCCCCTCCCCCCTCCCGGAGGCCAGGTCCCCGTGGGGCGGGGGAGAGGATGTCTCCGCGGGCCCCTTCACCCCTCCTCTGTCTGCACCCCCTGTGCCCTGGAGCCCTGGAAGGGAGAGACTGGACTCTAGCCAGGCAGGGACACGTCTTTGTGCCGCACGCCCAGCTACATGCTCGTGAGGTCAGCACAGGCGCGCGGCAGCTCGCATGGACTTGGCTCCGGCGCTGGAGCACGCACCTTGAAGACCAAACAGCATCCCACCAGGACCTGCCCACCTGCCCAGGGTTGCCACAGAGACTTGCCCGGCGGAGAGGAGACAAGGCTGGCTCCCAACTGGGAGTCCTCAGGGGCCAGCAGGCCTAGATCCCCACCCCCAGGAAGCGCAGGGCCCTCTCCGCATGCGCACGCAGCCATGTCTGTGTGTTTATACATGTGTTGCTCTTCAGAAAGCAACCTAGTTTATGGGGCAGCTGGACGTTGCATGTTAGTGTGAGCCCCAAACCCCTTGCCCGCCGCCCTCTCTCCCTAGGGCCCTGCCTCACCCCACCCCCTCACCAGCCAGCATTGCTGTTCCCTGCAGAGAAAAGGATTGTGGGAAACTCCAGGCCTCTTCCCACCCATCTCCCAGCACCTGCCTGCTAGGGCTGCCTGCATGCCTCCCCCAGAGCCCAGGGGTATCCAATCCCACCCCCTTTTAACAAAAGAGAAGAATTAATTCCAAACGCCACCAGGCTCTGTGGTCTTGCCTCGTATCCTGGGCTCTGCTGTCGTTCTGCTGTTGAAGGGGCAGCTGAGCTGAATGCAGGCCACTTTAGTCTCACCTGGCTTCACACCGCTGCTGCCAGTCACTGTCGTCAAATGCTCCTGCCTGCCTGAGGCTTTTCTGCTGAAGTTGGTTCTTTTTGGACTGGGTTCTAAGAATCCCACACACTGTCCACATACACGCTTACTTGCACCCACACATCAAAACCCCCAGTTTTGAGTATGCTAGGCTAACGACTACCTTCCTCTTCCAGGACTAGGTGAGGCACCTGGAGGCCCCAGCATCCACCTGGGATGTCTGTGTAACTAGGGTGCAACTGGGGATGGGGGTGGGGGGAGAGACGGACATCTCTGGCCTCCCCAGTCTCCACTCAGAGATGGAGAGAGTTCTCGGGAAACTGCCTTATGCTCCCATCCACCAGTGGTGGGAAAAGGCCTTGTCACTTAGGAGTCGCCTGCCGTGCGGGTAAATGCCTGCACCTTCCTGTGGACAGATTACTGAGGTGGATGTACTAGGCGTGCAGGGAGCAGCACTAGGTCTCGATTCCAGAAGGCGGGAGGCTGTGGGGTACCAGGTTTTTTATTTTTGGGTTTTGCCAGTCCTGAGGCTTATGTTCAGTGAGTGCTGTTTCTGGGCTTCCTTTGCTCAAGGCTAGCATGCTACCACAGCGCCACTACTGGCTTTTTCTGAGTAGTTTGTTGGAGATGAGTCTTACTGATGTTTCTGCCTGGGCTGGCTTCAATCCTCAGATCTCAGCCTCCTGAGTAGCTAAGATTGCAGGTGGCACCAGTCCCCCCCCCCCACCCCCCCGCCCCCAGGAGCCTCTGGATGGCCTGTAGTAGTCCTAACATTCATTCTTCAAAGAGGGCCTCAGGCACAGCCCCTGTAGCTTGAGGTGCAGGGCCTTGGGTCTGAAGTCCATCTCCCTGACAGCAGCCTCTGGCACCAAAAATAGACTGAAGTTTTAGAAGTGCCCTCTCCAAGACCACACAGTGGCTCATACCTGTAATCCCAGCAACTTGAAAGGTAGAGATTTCAAACATTGTTCAAGACCAGCCTGTGGAAAAAGTGAAGCTACATTTTAACTGGCTGAGTGGATGTGGCATGGGCCTATACAGGTGACAAATTAAGTTGCAGTCCAGGCTCTCCTGAGCAAAAACTCAGCCATATTTTTCAAATAAAATGGAAAGGGCTAAGGTTGGCTCAAGTGGTAGAGTACTTGCCCAGCAAGCCTGAGGCCTTAAGTACATCTTCTGTGGACTTTTTTTCTTTTTTTGGGGGGGGGTCCGGTCGTGGGGCCTGAACTCTGGGCCTGGGCGCTGTCCCTCAGCTCAAGGCTAGCACTCTACCACTTGAGCCACAGCACCACTTCCGGCTTTTTTCTTTTTGCTTGTGTGGTGCTGAGGAATGGAACCCAGGGCCTCATGCATGCAAGGCAAGCGCTCTACCACTGAGCCACCTTCCCAGTCCCTCTGGACTTTTTTTTTTGTTGGTGGTGGTAGTGGTTGTGGGGCTTGAACTCTGGGCCTGGCGCTGTCCCTCAGCTCTTTCCAGGCTAGTGCGCTACCACTTGAGTCATAGTACCACTTTTGGCCTTTTCTGCTTCTGTGGTGCTACAGAATCAAACCCAGGGCTTCATGCATGAGGCAAGCACTCTACCACTGAGCCACCTTCCCAGCTCAAGTACATCTCTGCCGGTCTCTGGGGGCAGGGCCTGGTTATCTTGAGTAACCACATGAACAGAAGGCAGTTACCTGGACGCTGGACATGTGGGGTTGAATAGTAATCCCTGTGGTGGGTAGCATTCCTCCTGCTAGATCCAGCAGCACCCCTAAAGATTAAAAACATCTGCAGACAATACTGACATTTTCTAGGGACAGTTGCTTTGGTGTAGGGTCCCTCTCCAGCCCTGAGGTTGCTATGCCAGGTTCCTGTCCACCACCACCCAGAACCTGCACCCAGGGAGAGGCCCAGGTTCCCCGGAACTGGCACTAAAAGCCACTCCATTTACACTTAGGAAGGTGAGCTTTATGGTGTGCTGGTTCTACAATACAGCTTCCAGGTGATGAAGCCACCCAGCAATCACTGGGGGCCATTGAACCTGGATCCCTGGCCTTGCAGGGCATAAGGTTCCCCTGAGTGTTTGTTAAAGCGCCCAGTTCCTAGCCTGTCTTCAGACAACTGCACTGGGGGAACCATGCAGCCACCAGCCCCCTCCTATGGAGATGTGGAGCCTCTGCCTGGGGGTATGTCAGACAAAATAAGCTGGACCTAAGTCTAGGGAAGCCAGGAGTAGGTCACAAAGACACCCCATCCCCATGCCCCAGAGCTCAGATCCTGAACTTAAGGCTAGTGTTGACCCATGTGCTGGACACAGGCTGCTGCAAGAGCAAAGGGCTGACACCCTAGCAGAACAGACCCCCAGGGCAGGCCACCCTCCATTCTTTCCAGTGCCAATCTGGAGCTTTCTGACTGCCACGGAAAAGCCAACCCTCAAGCCCAGCAGGAGCCAACTGTGCCACCCCCGCTGCTGGACTGGAGCTCCAGGTGACTTCTTCCCAAATTCTGTTCTCTAAAAATGTCCTTTGCATTCCTGAGGTTGTTTACAAGATGGTGCTTCTAGCCGTGTGTGATTCTGGGAGAGGATGGAGCAGGCTTGGAAAGCAAGTGTGGCCTCGCCAGGTGATGAGCAGTGGCTGTGGCCTGCAGGTCCTGCTGTGGCAGAGGCCAGGCCCGGGGGCTAGCGATCGCGCACACCTGCTGCGTGCTCCATGGCTTACACAAAAGGTTGCAGAGTTTCTTAAATGTGTTTGCCAACGTCTTAAAATCAGGAGGGCTAGCTGGGCACCAGGTCTGTAATCCTAGCTACTTGGGAGGCTAAGATACGAAGCCAATCCAGGCAGGAAAATCCATGAGCTTGTGATCTCCAGCTAGCCACCAAAAAGCCAGAAGCAGAGCTAGCTGTGGTTCAAGTGGTAGAGCAAAAAAGCTCAGGGAGGCACTGGGAAAGTGGCTCAGTGGTAGAGTGCTTGCCTTGCATGCATGTGGCCCTGGGTTCGATTCCTCAGCACCACATAGGCAGAAAAAGCCGGAAGTGGGGGCTTAGGTTCAAGTGGTAGAGTGCTAGCCTTGAGCTGAAGAGCTGAGGGACAGCGCCCAGGCCCAGAGTTCAGGCCCCACAACCAAAAGAAAAAAAGCTCAGGGACGGCACCCAGGACCTGAGTTCAAGCATCAGGACCCACACACACAGCAGCATGCCTTCTCAGTGGGGCGGGGTGGGTGCCAGATGAACAGAACCCCCAAGCTGCTTTCTGTAGTGGGCAGGGCTCCTCAGACAGCCTCAAAGAAGGCCTTGTTCTGAGACCTGGACACAGGACGGCGCCCAGGGCCACTGAGTGATCCCAGGGTCTGTCTGGTGGCTCAGACGGGGGTTCTCTAAGAAAACACTGTGGCTGCCTGGAGAATAACTGGCTGCTGCCCAGGTCTCTGAGGGTCTCTAACAGTAGTCTCCTCCCAGTGGAGGACAGACGAGGCCTTTGAGTGGCAGGAACCTCACAGCGTGGAGGCCCCTCCTGGGTTGGCCCAGAATATCAACTCCTACATTTGGAAAAGGCTCTGGGTTTGTAGCCACCGTTTATGGGTTTCAAGGAAATCTTAGCACCGTCTGTGTAGTAAGGCATGCTTGTAATCCCGGCTATGAAGGAGGCATAGGTAGAATCAAAGTGTGAGCGAGCCTATTGGAAAAAGTAAGGGTGGTAGGGCATCTGCCCAGGGCAGGTGGGAGAACCTACATTGTCCTGGGAGTGTGGTCTCTGTTCAGCCACCTTTCAGTCGCAGAGGAGAGGCTGGGAGGTGCAGGGTGGTCACCATGCATGTTTCGTCCACTCCAGAGCCACCTCCATGTATGGCCCTCTTCTGCAAAATACAGCCCACCTCCCCCTGGCTGTCCAGCCCATTGGTGAACCCACCAGAACAGGCCCCTCGGCCTTAAACCCTGTGTCCTGACTCCCACACAGGAGTGACGGATGCCCTGCTGCTGTCCAGCCTGATTCTGCAGCTGTCCCAAGCCAGCACCGAGGAGGGAGCTGGGCCAGCTCTGCCTTCCCCAGTGGATTTCCACTGCCCCCTGCCCCCCAGTGCCAGCGCCTTCCCCTGCTGTAACAGGGCTGAGGGGCTGGGGGGCAGATGTGAAAGCATCCAGCTGTGAGGATGGGGGGGGGCGGGGGCGGGGAGTCCTCAGCTCCCCTGTGCCAAGGATGGGCAGGCAGAGAGACCCTGGCCACCATGTCATCCCAGCAGCTCCCAGGCTGCCCTGGAGGGCACAGCTGGGGCCTGGGGGTGTGGGGAGGATGAGCTCGGAGTGGCAGCCAGAGGACAGACCAGGGCTTCTCCAGGGCTACCCCCGCTGCCAGGGGCAGCCAGCCAGGCCACTCAACTACACTCAGAAAGAAGGCAGACTTTATTCTTGCCAGAAGTTACAAAGAATACTCATTTGCACACAGGCTGGAGTTTGGGGCTGCCCCGCCAGGGTCCCCCCTCCCCCCGAGTGAGCTGGAGAGGTGAGTCAGACGCCTGGGTCAGGAAGAGCTGGGACTTGTTTGGACCCATTCCTTGGAGAAAGAAAGGATGAGTCAGGCTGGGGGTGGCCTCAGGTGAGTGGCATTGGGGACCGTCAGGAATGGGTGGGCACTAACTAGTGGCCTCCCACGTCAGGGAGCCCTTTACCCCTCATCCTCCTGAGTCCCTCCCTCCAGCTCACTCTCCACTGGCCCCCAACTTCCTACTCAGACCAGGGATCCACTGCCCACACCCAAGCACAGGGCCGTTGTGTCTGTGTCTGTGGAGTGGAACAGAACTGTCAGCAGTACGGAAAGGAGAGGGGAGGGCCATAAACAGAGGGAGGGACAGGCTGGGAGGCGGGTAAGCCTTCCAGAAGGTCACCGGCCCGGGGAGGTGACCACGGGAAAGCCTTTCATTCTGAGCTCTGAGGCAGTGAGCTCAGAGTTGGCTCTTCTGCCACCAAGCATGTGGCCTGTGAGCCAGGGACCCTGCCAGCGGGGAGGGGACCCTGCCACCCTGGGATAACCGCAAGGCTCTGCAGACGGTGCACACGAACACACTTCAGTTCCTAACCGTAATTGCCAGCAAAGACCAATGTGAAATGAAATGTGTGCACACAGTGAAGTTTGGTGTCTATGGGAAAACTGGACCGAGTAGAAATAGGCCACACAAGACGTGCGGAGATGGCCGGAGCTGAAGCAACACCGATGAGGATCATCTCAGCAGAATACCAATGAGGGCTTTTGTTTTTAAAGGCAGGGGCTCCCTAGGTAGTCCAGGCTGGACTTGAACTTGAGAACATCTCGCCTCAGCCTCCCAAGGGCTGGAACTGCAGACATGCACCACCATATGCACCAGCTCAAGAAAGGGATGGCTTAAAAAGTTCACTCTGGGGCTGGGAAGATGGCTCAGTAGTAGAGCGTTTGCCTTGCATGCATGAGGCCCTGGGTTCCATTCCTCAGCACCACATAAGCAAAAAGAAAAAAGCCAGAAGTGGTGCTGTGGCTCAAGTGTTAGAGCACTAACCTTGAGCTGAATAGCTGAGGGACAGTGCCCAGGCCCAGAGTTCAGGCCCCACGACCGTACCCCCCCAAAAAAAATTCACTCTGGAACTATGTTGCCTATGAATGTATCTGATGAGGACTGTGGAGGGGGGAAGGGGAGGTAAACGCGTAACTTGAGGGTCCCCTGTACAGGCCCTTGTCCTACAGCTAGGGCCCTGGGGTTCCACAGAGGGAGAGGAGGGGACCCTGTTGGGGGAGGCATAGGGTGGAGCTTACAAGTTGATGGACTCCTCGGTAGACTTCGTGTTGATTCTGGGCTCAAGGGGGCACAAATTTCTGGTGCCTGAGGGGCACTGGGGCCTGCTGGGGTTCCCCCCGGGGAGGGATCACCAGCGGCAGCAGTGGCAGCAGTGATGGTGGCCGAGACATCATGGTGGATACAGGGCGGGAGGTTGAGCTGTCATTTGTGCGGTAACCTGGGAAGCTGGGGGCTGGGGAAGGAGCAGAAAGAAGAAACCCATCTCCCGTGTTCTCAGAGCACTTCCTGATGCTGCCGGGAGAGACAGAGGTTTTATAGGCCACAGCAGAACTGGTGACCACACCTCTCCTGGTCCCATGCACCCAAAACTTCTTTGTAGTGACCCAAGATGTATGACTGTGCAATTGGTGCCCTGGGTATGGAGTCTGCAGGGTGTGGAGTCTGAGCTGGGCCTGGTAACCTGCGCCATTCTCTTTGGGATGACTACCAGTGCCCCTCGCCCCATTGGCTAAGGGTCAGAAGAGGCAAGAAGGAAAAGAGTGCTGTAAAAACTAAGTTCCCCTGAAGGCCCAGTACACAGAAATGCACATCAGGGGAGCTCAGGGAGGCAGCCCCTTCTACCGGCTCCTACAGCTCCCTGCCCTCGGACCTAGGAAAGTGAGCTCCACCCTACAGCCAGGTGGACCCTCAAGGAAGACACCTGGCCACACTTCTGGAATAGTACCTGGGGCCAGGAAGTTCCCTGGCAGAGTGAAGCCGAGCCCGGGATGGCTGGATGGGGCCCTGGTGAAGGGGGGGGGGGGGGGCGATGTGGACAGCAGAGGCTGCCAGGACCCCAGTGGGCCAGGGGGCTGGGGTGCTGGGTACTCACGGGGATGGATGGCACTGGGGCGCACTCGGTCAACTGGGGTCTGAGCCCGCGGCGGACATGGGATCTTCACAGCTAAGAGAAAAAGACCAACAGGTTGCAGGCTGGTTCTCCTGGAGCGAGGCACCCTGCGACCTGAGCCCCACTTGACTTTTCCCTCTGGGAGGACCACAGCGTTTACCAGGCCCACCTTCCACACCCCTGACTCTCCCACGTCCTATGGGTAGCGACCCCCTGTTCATCCCTGTTCCAGTCCAGAGCCTCTCACAGGTATGAAAGGATGCATCTCCAGGCCAGGGAGGAGAGGGACAATCAGCAGGTACCAGGGTAGACAGGGCTTCATGGCCGAATCAACATCCAGCGGTTCTTTGCAGCTTCATTTGTTTGTTGATTTTGTAACAGGATCTTATGTTTTCAGGCTGGCCTTGAACTCAAGCTATCGCCCTCACCTCAGCCTCATGAGTTGCTGGGACTACAGGTGTGCACCACCACCATACTCAGCTATCTGGCAATTCTTTAGATACTTCTGCTGGGGTAGGCCTTATAACATCCCCCACTCCTATCTTTCAGTGCTTCACCTTTTGTTTTTTAGCTAAAAGTCACATAACAGCCACTACAAGGGCACATCAGACAGTCATTCCCCATCCCCCATGCCCAAATAGAGACCGTCCTGCTCAGGCTGACTTGGAACTACAATCCTCACACTCATCATCCTAAGTAGCTAGGATTCTAGGTGTGAGCCACCGGTGCCCTGTTTGTCTCTCTCTTCTGAGCTCAAAACCTCCCCCTGAAGCTGGTCAACAATCATCCTGACATTTACCTACTACCATCCCAATACCAGGACCGGCCAAGTGGGACCTTACAGGACAAAGGGGGCTGTACCGAGTTAAGGATCCTGAGATGGGGGCTAGCCTGGAGTGGTGGGGTGGGGTGGGGGCTTCCTGGAATCACACGACCTCCTGAGGGTCAGAGTCACCTGTGGCCATGCAAGCGCAAGCCACAGCAATGTGAGAGGCTGAAAGGCAAAGGCTCTCCGCTCCAGCCTCTAGAAGGGACTTGGCCCACGTAGCTCAGTGATACTGGCTTTGGACTTCCAACCTCGGGAACTAAGATACTAAGCTTAGTTGCTGTTGGTGACAGCAGGCAGAGGAAATTGATACAAGGCGGTTCTACTAGGCTGGGTGTGTGTGTGTGTGTGTGTGTGTGTGTGTGTGAGTGTGTGTGTGTGTGTGTGTGTGTGTGTGTGTGTGTGTGTGTGTCCCACCTGTTTTAGGCTTATTTTAGGCAGGTGTCTGCAGCTAGTCAGGAGGGATGAGCTGGCGGAGGTGTGCTTCTCCCTCCTGCCTCCCTCCCCACGTAGCCTGTAGCCCGCCTTCCTCTCGCACTGCCCTCCCAGGGAGCAGGCCAAGCAGCACCTGGAGGTCACAGGCTGGTCAAATGGGAGACTTTGGTGGCCCCTGTGGGACAGGCAAAGGACTGGCCCCGTGGACAGGGTGGGACCGATGGCACCTGCATCGGAGGCGGGGCTGAGTGGGGGGAGGGGCCTGCCTGGCCAGTCTTAGGTGGACATACTGCTTGAGTCTGTCTTGGATGAAAATTTGTATGAAAATAAATGAGTGCAGGACAGCAGAAGCTCATCAGGAGCTCTGCCCGCAGACAGGTTTCCAATGGATACATTCCTTTCCTCCCTGCCCCCCTCCCTCTCTGGCGTCACAGCCCCAGTGGGTCTCTAGTACTGGAGTTGTGTGGGCTGGGTGGGGTCTGGGAAAGCATGACCCACTGGAAGAGAAGCCCCTCTCTGGGTGTGTGTGTGGGGGGGGGGGGGTAACAGCAGTTCTGGCCCCTCTGCTGAGGGTATCTCCTCCTCTCTCTGTGTGTATGGGACCCTAGACCAGGCTGCTTGGGCATGGAGCTGGGGAGGCCCTGGCACGGTCAGGGTCATTAAACATTAGCCCTGTTTTTGTACTGCTCAGTGATCCCTAAACCCAGGTCTGCAGTGGGGTCCTGAGCAGCCACACGGTGCCTGGGCAGAGGGCAGGAGCGGCAGAGGGCAGGGGCATGGCATCCCGCCCTCCTGGAAATAGGGTGGGGCCCGTGGCTTATTTGGAGGCAGGCCTCTGTGGATATAATTAAGGATCCTGAAATGGTGCTACGCTGGTGATACTGAGCCTCAAGCCAATGACAAGTGTGCTTGTGGGCGTCAGAGGAGAAGACGAGGCAGAGCTGGGGTGATGTGCCACTGCCAGGGGACAGGAGGAGGAGCACAGTGCTAACCACACCTTGATTTAGACTCCAGTCCCCACACTGCTGTTGCTGCTACTACTCGGCCGGAGGCCCTGCTGTGTGGCAGCTGGCGTCGTCGTGTGTATCTAGTGTACCAGGAAGGCAGCTGTCAGTGGCCACAGTCAGACCCTTCTTCCTGAGGGAAAGCACCCACAGGGGAGCGAGAGGCACCCCTTTTGGTAGGGCAGGCCCAGTGATGGGTCCCAGGTGGAAGCCAGCTGGCGGTGAGCCTGGACACCATAGCAAGCTGGTGACTGGTTCTGAATAAACGCACAGAGGTCAGGGGCTCCTGCTGGGCGGGCCCTTGTCCCCGGCACTAGGGCACGGGATCGCCTGTGCTCCTCTTCATCAGCCCCACTCCACCTGTACCTGGTTTCCGCCTACCACAGGGTCTTTGAACTCACTGTTCTTCACTCACTCTTCAAAAGCACTGTGGCGGCTGTCCAATCCTCCCCACAGACTGATGCCCTGACACAACTCGCCTATTACTTGCCCACTGCCACTCCCTAGGCTAGCAACCGCGTCACAGGTCCTGTTCACTGGAGCCTCCCTTCAGGTCAGCTAGCAATCATTCATCGTGGATTCTTGCCTTTCAGGTATTTGCTTACAGGTCTCTTGCTCCCTGCTGGCCCCTGAGGGGACCACATTTTAGTGAGGAACTGTGGAGGGGCCCCCCAGTCAGGGGAGGCACAGGCCGTGGGCCTCCCTCATGCTGCCCAGACTCAGGCCCAGGGCAGCAAAGGTGCCTAGGGTGGTTCAACGCCCCCTCCCCCACACCCGTACCTGTCAATTCCTTCTCCCCGGCGGGTGGCTGAGTCCCGGTCAGGGGGGTCATGCGGCCTCTATAAAGGATCCCATCCACGCCCAGGATGTCCACCTCCGCCTGTTGGACGGCCCAGGTGTCAGGTCAGGGCTTCCGCCCAGAAGCCCAAGCTCGGCACCCGCAGACACCTGTGCCCGGACATGGGGCCCCGCAGATGTCAGACTCACAGAGTCATAGTCCAGCTCTTCTGGGTCCCCGTAAGGATAAAGTGTGGTCATGTTGTATGTCTTCTGCCTGGTGGTGTTTCGGGGCCCATCACCCCAGTCCTGCTGGGTGCTCAGGGGGTCCATGCCTTGCAACTGCAACTTCTGTTCCCTGCATAGGGCAGAGGCTCATCTTGAGATGCCCTGGTCCCTCCACGGGACCATAGGACGGCAGGAGGTTAGTTAGTGTGGAGGCTGGGACCCAAGAAGCCAGCAGGAGGGGAAACCAGCTGGTTTGGTTGTCACCTCTCTCACGACCTGGGGCAGGGTCACAGAATCTCTCTGAGCTCAGTTTCTCCAACTGTGAAATGGGATGATAATGGAAAACACCTCAAAGGGAAGCCTTAAGGACTCCACAAGGCGGGATATGCCAAGGTGCCTAGCACAGAGCCACAGCCAGGGCCTCACCCACGTTCGTCGGGGCTGGCAGGGGCTGTGAGATTTAACGGGAGGCCTATTCTTTTGGGAAGCTTTGGGGCAGCTCTTGGGCTGCGGTAGATCTCCGATGAAGATGCTGGCCTCTCTGTCTGCGGTCCTCACCTTAGCATCTGCTGCTCCAGGTACTCATAACCATTGGCACTGGCCGGCCGCAGTCTCGAAGACAGGTTGCCTTTGCGGATGGTGATCAGCTGCCTGTGGAAAGCAGGGAGGCAGGGCTGCGGCTCCAGCAGGAGGAGGGAGGTGCAACAATGCCCCCTGCCCCCGCCACCGAGATGCCACCTTCTCACTGGAACAGTCCCATGCTAAGACACAAGCAACTGTTCTTATAAAAGTAAAACCTAACTCAAGAGGCTGAGATCTGAGGATAGTGGTTTGAAGCCAGCTTGGGCAGAAAAAGTCCTGTGAGATTCTTATCTCTAATTAACCACACACACACAAAAAAAAACTGGAAGTGGAGCTGTGGCTCAAGTGGTAGAGCACTAGCCTTGAGCACAAAGAGGTTCATGGCCAGCGCCCAGGCTCTGAGTTCAAGCCCCACAACTGTCAAAAAAAAAAGTAAAACCTAGGCAGGTGATGGTGGCTCATGCCTGTAATCCTAGTTTCACAGGAGGCTGAGATCTGAGGATCATGGTTTAAAGCCAGCCAGGGCAGGAAAGTCTATGAGAATCTTCTCTAATTAACTACCAAAAAGCCAGAAGTAGAGCTATGGCTCAAGTGGCAGAGTGCCAGCCTTGAGCAAAAAAGCTGAAGGACAGCACCCAAGCCCTGAGTTCAAGCCCAATAAAACAAAACCAGAGCAGCCTTGAAGAGGCCGGGGCTGCTCCACTCTTCCTGACACACAGACGCACACAGGCCAAAGTATACAGGACCAGGTGATGTCCTTCACTAGATCCAAGTTAAGCCACACTAGAACATACTGATCCCTAACATCTCATAAAGAACACAAAAGCACAAAGCAGCCAGGTCACTCCTCTAATCCTAGTTTCTCAGGAGGCTGAGATCTGAGGATCACAGGTCAAAACCAGCCCAAGCTGGGAAGTCTGTGAGACTCTTATCTCCAGTCAACCACCAGAAAACCAGAAGTGGCGCTGTGGCTCAAAGAATACCGCTAGACTTGAGCAGAAAAGCTCAGGAACAGCGCCCAGGCCCAATTTCAAGCCCCAGGATCACCAACTCCAACACCATCGAACAAAAGCACAGAGCAAGCTCAGCCACTGGTGGCTCTGCGGGCGCCCCCTGGCGGCGGAGGGCCTTGGCGCCGTACTCACGGGCTGGTCATCATGGTCACAGGCCGATCGCAGGAGATGCACTTCACCCGCTCAAACAGCTTCCTAGAGGACACGGTGGGTGGTCAGCTGTCCCCAGGGGCTAGGGTGGGGGCTGGGAGAGCTGCAGGTTCCCTCCCTGCTCTCCCCATCCTTGGCTTGGGGACAGAAGGGGGGGGGTCAGCGCACCTGTGGCTCCCTCCCACCCCAGACATCAGACATGGTCCTCCATGCCAGGCTTTCCTGGGGCCCTGCGGCAGCTGTCTGGGCAGAGTTCTGGGGTCCTAGACTCCAGAGCCACTCCCACTGTGTGGTCCCCCACATCCCTCTGTGAGCCTCAGTTTCTTCATTTGCAGCATTTAAGGCTGGAGACCACATGGCAGGGGAGCCCCCCCACCCCTACCCTCGCGCCCCGGCCCCGCCCCGCTCTGCTCCGTCCCCAGGCAGCAGCCCTCACTTCCTAAAGCCTGCAGCACGGTCGGGGTCGAACCGAAGGCTGTCCACCACCAGCTTGAGAACCACTTGCCACAACTCCTGTATTTCTTTCTTTATCCCCTCCAGGTCGTTGGAGACCAGCTGCCAACCAGAGCAAAGAGAAGACAAGCTCATCAATGAATGCTCACCCAGCCACCTGCAGCTCCAGAGAGAATGTGGAGATGCCCTGTTGAGGGGAAGGCTCCAGCTCTGGTTAAGACTTTGCTCCCCATGCGTGTTCTTGGACCAGGGAAGCTGCAAGGTGAGCCTCCCAGCGGCCACGGGAAAAAATGCTATTAGCTGCTGCCTCCAAATCTACTGCTTAACTGCAGGGGTAGAGGCTCTCTGTGCTCCGGACATGGGTACCTTCGACACATGTTCATGTAGAGTCTGTATGCAAAGTTCATTTGCTTTTCGTATACTCATGAACCTGTGCAATCACCTCAACTACAGGACATTTGCTTCCCTCTCAGAAGAAGGCCCGTACCCTTGACCAATCACCCCCATTTCCTCCTAGTCCCTAGCAGCCATCATCTACTCTCTGTCTGGATTTACTTGTTCCAGAAATTTCATAGGAAGGATGTCACATACTATTTGGCTCAAGTGGTAGAATGCCAACCTTGAGTGAAAAAGCATGTGAGGCCTGAGGCCCTGAGTTCAAGCCCCAGTAACACACACACACACACACACACACACACACACACACACACACACACACACACACACACATCTAATCCTAGAATTTAGAAGATTAAGGCAGGTGAATTGTGAGTTTGAGGCTTGCCTGGAATACACAGCAACCTCCAGCCAGAGCTACATAGTGAGATTGTACCTCAAAAAAAAAAAAAATTGAGCTGGGCACAGTGGCTCACGCCTGTCATCCTAGCTGTTCAGGGGGCTGAGATCTGAGGATTGTGGTTCAAAGTCCAGGCAGGAAAATCAATCTCTCTCTCTCTCTCCCTCTCCCCTCTCCCTCCCCACCCCGCCCTCTTTCATTAGTGCCAGTTCTGAGGCTTGAACTCAGGGCCTGAGCACTGTTCCTGAGCATTTTTGCTCAAGGTTAGTGCACTGCCAAGCCACAACTCTACTTCTTGATTCTGTTGGTAGTTTTAGACTTTCCTACCTAGGCTGGCTTTGAACTGAGATATTCGGATTTCATCCTCTTGAGTAGCTAGGATTATAGGTGTGAGCCATCCACACCTAGCATGCAAGACACCAGCACTAGCCTTGAGCAAAAAGGTCAGAAACAGAGCCCAGGAGCTGAGCTGAAGCATGAGGCCTGGTGCACGCACACACGCCACAACCATCGAAAATCATAAAGCAAATATGGCAACATATTATGGTTATTAGATCTGGGGGTGAATGTATGTGGATACATTATCTGAGTATTTCTATTTTTTTTTACTATGTCTGACACCTTTTCAAATAAAATGCCACTGTTCCCTTGGCTAAGTCACAGGAGACATGACAAGTTCTTCCTGCTGTGTTGGTCACTGGCTGCCATGTTGTGGGAGCACTCAGGCAGCCTTGAGGCGGCGGCAGCGGAATGAGGACCTGAAGCATCCTGCCTACAGACACGTTGGGCACCATCTTAGAAGACACTCCTCCACCCCTCCCCCAGGCAGGCCTTCAGATATGACACCAGATGCCACATTTGTGTAACCTCATGGGAAGACCCTGAGCTACCAAGCTAAATTGCTCTCAATTCTTTTTGTTTTATTTTTGTTTTTAGCTCTCAAATTATTACTATATGTAGTTTTTGGTTGGTCATTGGGGTTGAACTCAGGGCCTGGGTGCTGTCCTTTAGCTTTTTTGCTCAAGGCTAGCGCTCTACCACTTTGAACCACAGTTCTACTTACGGTTTTTAACTGGTTAATGGAAATATGAGTCTCACCGGGGCTTTTTTGTCTGGGCTGGCTTCAAAATGAGATCCTCAGATCTCAGCCTCCTGAGTAGTTAGGGTTCTAGGTGTGAGCCAGTGGCTCCCGGCTTTTGCTCTCAAATTCTTACTCCTTAAAACTGCACATCTAGCTACTCAAGAGGCTCAGATCTGAGGATCGCGATTCAAAGCGAGCCTGGGCAGGGAAGTCTGTGAGACTCCAATAAACCACCAGAAAAGCAGAAGTGGCGCTGTGGCTTAAGTGATACAAAACTAGCCTTGAACTGAAGAGTTGAGGACAGCGCCCAGGCCCAGAGTTCAAGCCTCACCACCCCCCCCCCCAAAAAAAAAAAAAAAAACCCAAAACTCTGAACATCTGCTATTAAAGACTGCTAAGGTTCTGGAGTCGTTTGTATTCAGCAGCAAGTGCTAACACAGAGGTGCTCACTTTGGTGGCCAGGTCCTTCTTGACTTGCTTCAGCGCCTTCTTCCAGTCCGCCTCATGAGTTGAGACCTTGAAAAGCACACTCTGAACCATCTCATTCATCTCCGTGGCTAGTAGGTCCAGTTCATTCCTGTTTGCCTTGCTTGCCAGAGCACTTTTTTCAGCTTTCTAGGGAGACAGGGAGCACAGGGGACAGTGCTGGGTGGGGGTAGAGGTGGGGCAGGAGATGCTGAACAATGTTCCATCCCTTTGGTTAGCATTTTTTTTTTTTTTTTTAGTTGGTCATGGGGCTTGAACTCTGGGCCTGGGCACTGTCCCTGAGCTCTTCAGCTCAAGGCTAGTGCTCTACCACTTGAGCCACAGCACCATTTCCAGTTTTCTGAATGGTTTATTGAAGATAAGAGTCTCACGGCCTTTCCTGACTGGGCTGGCTTTGAACTGCGATCCTCAGATCTCAGAGTAGCTGTAATCACAGGCGCCCAGCTTTTTTTTTTTTTTTCTTGTCTTGTTTAGAACCCTTGGGGTCTATGTTGGCTTAAACTCAACTCTGGATCTAACCAAGGTTTTCCTGTGATGAAGAAGAGACGTCTATCTTTTTAAGTATAGGTAACACTGTCACTAACCTGAGTTGCTGAAAAGAGGAGCAAACAGGACAACTTTTAAGAAGCTTCTCTGGCCTCCCAGTCTGAGTAGAGGCTGAGAGCATTCTGGAAGGTTTTTTGGCTGGCTCTGTCCAAGTAGAGAGCTGGGGCTGGGATCAGGGGGGAGCAGGAGGCCAAAGACCTCTGCTTACTCACTTCTTTCAGCTCCTCCTCCATTGTGATTTTATTCACCTTCTCTTGAGTCAGCCTGTCGATCTGAGTCTGAAAAGACTAAGCACAGAGCAAAGGCAGGTAAGACATTCTGCAGCCCTGGAGAGGGAGTCTCCTGCCCTGATGTAATCACAGGGCCAGTTCAACTCCAATCTGCCCTGGGGTCCCAGTGAGAACTGCTGTCTGCTGACACGTGGTGGCCAAGTGTAGGGGAAACCCTTGCTTCCCCCTAGCACTGCTTCCTCTCCACTTTACCAGACTCTCCTAGAGCAGCAACAGCAGCTAACCTGCTTAGTGGGGGGCCTCCCACGCCCCCCCTTTTTCTTCTAAGTGGCTAGCTCCCTTTATATCCGGTCTCCAGTTGAGTAGATCCAGGGTCAACACCCTATACCTACCTTCAGATTTATCATGCTAGTGAGCCTGCTGTTCTAGAAAGGCCCAGCAATACTGAGAACTCAAGGAAGGGTCTTGCTTCCCCAAAATGACTGAGTTTAGGTCAAATGTTAAGAAGGTAACTGCTGGTACAGGAAATCCTCTTTTTTTTTTTTTTTTTGTTCGAAGACTGGGACTCCTACCTGGTCCCTGACACTTTGCCCATTGGCTAGTGCCCTACCAATGGAGCCATATCTCTAACCCCTAACCTCATTCAGTGATTCCTTTAGCAGGTGTAACTCAGCCCTTCTAGGAACGAGTGACACGGAGGCTGAGGACAGATACTGTTGAGACCCTGTTTTATGCATGTGTTGTTTGTTTTTAATTGAAGTGTAATTTATACACTGTAAGATATCCTCTGAAGCCTGTAATCCTAGCTATTCAGGAGGCTGAGATCTGAGGATTGTGGTTTGAAGCCAGCTAGGGCAAGAAAGTCTGTGAGACTCTTGTGACAAATGAACCACTAGAAAACCAGGAGTGGTGCTGTGGCTCCAGGTAGCAGAATGCTAGCCTTGAGCAAAAAAGCCCAAGGACAGTGCCCAGGCCCCGAGTTCAAGCCCCACAACCAGCCAAAACAAACAAACAAACAAAAAAATGTCCTTTGGCTCTGCAGTCTTCTGCGCATCCCTTCTATGCATTCCCAAGGAAGAACTCGCCCTTGCCTGTCCTTCCCTGGTCCCCCAACCTTCCAACCTTGAAGTCTTCTAGGCGATTCTGAAGCCTTCCTATCGCCCGGTCCAGTACCATGTATTGACTCTTCATTGTGTCTATTTGGGTACCCCAAATTCTCTCAAGTTCTTCTTCCTAGATGAGGGGAGACAGAGGCATCTGAAGCCTCTGCTTCAGCCTCTGCCATGGCTAGAAGGGGCCCACACACGCCAATTTGCTACCAGACAAAGCACCTGAGGTGTTTGTTGGAAGAAATTGTGTTGCCTGCCACCCACCTACTACTCACCTACACGCTCACCCTGCAGCAAGCAGATGGCTTCTGCCTGCTGTAGCTGCCCTCCATCCACGTACTACCCCAGCCCTCCCTCCAGCTGCAGGGTGGATGAGGGCCGGGGACTGGGGAGCCAGCTCTCTGGCCCCCAGTTCACCTCATCATCTTCTCAAAAGCTCCTTTCTGAGACACTCACCTGGAGCCTGGATTTCTGGAGGTTCTTAAACTTCTCCTCAAGTGATCCTAACATGGTCTCAAACTTGGAGGTGTCTTTCATTTTAACTAAAAGCAAAGCATGCAAAGGACAGCTTGGCTGTTGGGGGTGAGGAGGAAGATGACTGGCTAGAGCTCCCACTGCTGGTCATGAGATCAGAGACAGTGGGAGCAGTATGGAGGCAGCCCTGTCCCACAGACATACTCTCAGCTTTGGGCCAGGCAGCTAATGTTAGGTTCATAGAAGCTCTAACTAAAAATGAAAATCTAGTCCCGTGATCCTCAGATCTCAGCCTCCTGAATAGCTAGAATTACAGGTAGGAGCCACCAGTGTACAATCAATTGCCAGCTAGAGACCCAAAGAGGCCCTCTCCCCAAGAGACTGCACTGTTCCCAGAATAGACTAGTAAAAGGCTAGCGCTGAAGCCCAAAGAACAAATCCCTAGTGACTGATTAGTGATTCTGCGAGGGGAGCCAACTAAAGAAAGCGAGTGGCTGCTGCCCTTCGTAGGGCCAGGGTGGGCCTACCTAGATGAGTCAAGCGCTGTTTCAGGTTGGCTGAGAGCTTGGCGAACTCTGCTTTCAGGGAGTCCTGTGAGACAGGCATTTGGGCAATGTGGCCAAAGGAGTACTGGACAGCCTTCTTCTTGTCTTCAGGGCTCACAGCTTGAATGCCAAGAATCATGGACTGGGAAAGGGTTGGCCTGGCTAGGCTGGGCGAAGTGTACAAGGGGGAGGATTGGACAAAGTATGGGTGCGATTCTTCTTGCTCTTCCGCCTTATCTATGACCATGGAGAAAGTGGTCACAGGGGAAGGCCCTGTAGCCAGACTATCTGAAAAGCCTCCTGAGGGCTCAGATAGCTCTGTGGTAGTCGGTTTAGTGGCAGAGGCATCCTTGAGTGCCTTGACGGCAGCCTTCGCTTCCCTGGCTGCTGAAGTGGCTGCAGCTGCATAGGCTGCTGCCGTGGCGGCGGCCACGCTGACAGTGGTCTTGGCTCGTTTGAAGGTGGAGCCAAGATGCTTACCCCGTGTTTCAGAAAGCTCATCCACCTGGGTTCCACGTGTGGGGGTCTCCTCAGAGGTTCCCTGAGGTTGGGGGTAGGAATATTCACCTTCTATTTCTTCAACAGATGGGAGCTGGCGGGCCGCCACCCTGTGAGACTGGTGTGGCTTCAGTGGACTAGGCCACGAGTATCCTACCTCCCTGGATGGCGGTATGGCCGAGAATAACTGACTGGGAAGAGGCTGCCTGGAGACTGATGGACCTGGGGCAGGCAAGTCCAGGAAGGGCCAACTGTCTGGGGCAGGGCCAGGTGTAGGCCAAGATGCTGGCACTAAACCTGGTGTACCAGGCTCTGGTGCAAGCATGGCCTCAGCTTCCAGCCCTGGCTCAGTCCTAGGTGCAGGTACAGGCCCAGGCCCAAACCAAGACAGTGCAAGTTCAGGTGTAGGCCAAGACTCAGGTGGGGGCACAGGCCAAGGCCCAGGCCCAACCCTACGCAGTGCAAACTCAGTTGCAGGCCAAGACTCAGGTGGGGGCCCAGGCCCAGGCCCAGGCCAAAGTCCAGGTCCAGTCCCAGGTCCAGGTCCAAGTCCAAGTTCAGGTCCAGGCCCAACCCTAGGCAGTGTAAACCCAGTTGCAGGCCAAGACTCAGGTGGGGGCCCAGGCCTAGGTCCAGGTCCAGGTCCAGGTCCAGGTCCAGGTCCAGTCCCAGGTTCAGGTTCAAGTCCAGGTCCAGACCCAGGTCCAGGCCCAGGTTCAGTACCAGTCCCAGTCCCAGGTCCAGGCTCAGGACCAGGTCCAAGTCCAGGTCCAGGTCCAGGTCCAGTCCCAGGTCCAGGTCCAGGTCCAGGTCCAGGCCCAACCCTAGGCAGTGCAAACCCAGTTGCAGGCCAAGACTCAGGTGGGGGCCCAGGCCCAGGCCCAGGCCCATGTCCAGGTCCAGGTCCAGGTCCAGGCCCAACCCTAGGCAGTACAAACCCAGTTGCAGGCCAAGACTCAGGTGGGGGCCCAGGTCCAGCTCCAGGTCCAGGTCTAGGTCTAGTCCCAGGTCCAGGTCCAGGTCCAGGTCCAGGTCCAGGTCCAGGTCCAGGTCCAGGCCCAATCCTAGGCAGTACAAACCCAGTTGCAGGCCAAGACTCAGGTGGGGGCCCAGGCCCAGGCCCAGGTCCAGGTCCAGGCCCAACCCTAGGCAGTACAAACCCAGTTGCAGGCCAAGACTCAGGTGGGGGCCCAGGTCCAGGTCCAGGTCTAGGTCCAGTCCCAGGTCCAGGTCCACGTTCAGGTCCAGGTCCAGGCCCAACCCTAGGCAGTGCAAACCCAGCTGCAGGCCAAGATTCAGGTGGGGGCACAGGTCGAGGCCCAAGCCCAGACCCAAGCCCAGACCCAGGCCCAGGTCCAGGTCCAAGTCCAGGTCCAGGTCTAGGTCCAGGTCCAGGCCCAACCCTAGGCAATGCAAACCCAGTTGCAGGCCAAGACTCAGGTGGGGGCCCAGGCCCAGACCCAAGATCAGGTCCAGGTCCAGGTCCGGGTCTAGTCCCAGGCCCAACCCTAGACAGTGCAAACCCAGTTGCAGGCCAAAACTCAGGCAGGGGCACAGGCCCAGGTCCAGGTCCAGGTCCAGTCCCAGGCCCAAGCCAAGACAGTGCAAGCCCAGGTGTAGGCCAAGACTCAGGTGGGGTCACAGGCGCAGCCGCAGGCCCAGTCCTAGTCTCAGGTCCAGGTCCAGGTCCAGTCCCAGTCCCAGGCTCAATCCTAGACAGTGCAAGCCCAGGTGCAGGCCAAAACTCAGGTGGGGGCGCAGGCCCAGGTACAGGCCAAGACTCAGGCGGGGGCCCAGGCCCAGACCCAGGCCCAAGCCCAGGTGCAAATCCAGGCCCAAGCCCAGTTGCAAGTCCAGGCCCAAGCCCAGGTGCAAGTCCAGGCCCAAGCCCAGGTGCAAGTCCAGGTGCAAGTCCAGGTGCAAGTCCAGGCCCAAGTTCATGTGCAAGTCCAGGCCCAAGCCCAGGTGCAAGTCCAGGCCCAAGCCCAGGTGCAAGTCCAGGCCCAGGCCTAGATACTACAAGCCCAGGTGCAGGCCAAGGTGGTGGTGCAGGCCGAGGCCCAGGCCCAGCCCCAGCCCCAGGTGCAGGTGCAGGTCTAGGCCCGGGCCCAGGCCCAGGCCCAACCCTAGATAGTACAAGCCCAGGTGCAGGCACAGGCCGGGGCCCAGGCCCAGGCCCAGGTGCAGTCCCAGGTTGGGGCATAGGCACAGACCCAGGCCCAGGACGCGGCGCAGGCCCAGGCGCAGTCCCAGGCTGGGGCCCAGGCCCAGGCCCAGGACGTGGTGCAGGCCCGGGCGCAGTCCCAGGCTGGGGCACAGGCCCAGGCCCAGTCTGGGGCACAGGCCCCGGCCTAGGCCTTGGCCCAGGCCAAGGCCCAGGCACAGGCCCCAGCCCAGGCCCAATCCAAGACAATGCAAGCCCAGGTGTAGGCCAAGACTCAGGTGGCTGTACAGGCCCAGGCCCAGGCCCAGGTCCAGGCCCAGTCCCAGGCAGGACCTGGGTCTGGTCTAGCTTTCCCACACCACTGGGTAGAACCACACGCACAGGCTCTAACTGGGCTTTTGTGTCAGCATATTGCTCGGAGGTAGGGCGTTGGACACCATCCTTTAGGTCCTGGCTCTGGGCGAAGGTGGCCTCTGGCAACGGCTCACCAGTCTGCTCACTCCTTGGTTGAACAAGTACCTGCAGAAAAAATAGGGGCAAGGAAGTTGGGCTGGCTCCCCTTCCCTTTCCCCCTCCTCCTCTTCCTCTTCCTCTCACCCCAGTGAACATGGCCTCATGAAGGCTACTCCACAGCACCATGTCCTCAGCTTTGGGGATGTTCTGAATCTTGTTCTGGATGGTAATCTGTGCAGCAAGGATGGGGTATACAGGTATGAGTCCTGGGGGGGAGGGGGGTTGTGACGCCATCCATGTGGCCCCATTCCTGCTCAGGGGCAGCTGTGGTCCACAACACCCCCAACATTTACAAAGCAACCTTTCCAGACCCTGTCCTCACCCTGTCCCTCCCAGTTCCCCTGAACCCAGAGAGGAAGGATGGGGCCCACAGCCCTCACCACTTCCCGCTGCAGGGCACTTGTCCTCCGGGTCTGCGTTTTTAAGCCTTCAGAGATGACATCTACTTTTTCCGGGCGAATCTGTCAAATGAGCCAAATAGGCTGAGGATACAGGTTCTGATCCCAGCACTGCTGCTTTTCCTACAGCACTTGGTGACTAAGCTTGAGAAAGGAGAAGGGAGTTTCTTTCCCAGGGATGGAAAAGGAAAACTAAACAAAGGGTTCCAGATATATAAGTTTGGGAAATTCTGGGCTAAAATATTTGAGTTTTGTACTGTAGGACTTCTCAAAATCATGAATAGGCAAAAGAGGAAAAAGAAAAAAAAAAAAAAAGAAAAAGACTCCAATAAGAAAGCATTGTTTCTTGCATAGATTTGTTCATGGATCCTTTTTAGTGTTTCATGGCTCTAAAGGGCGCTGTCTGTGCCAAGACTAAAGTTCAAAAGTAGCTAAACCTTGGCTGCAAGGTATATCTATATTTATATATATATATATAAAGAGATATCTGGTATATATATATCTATATCTATATATCTATATCTATAGATATATATATACCAGATATCTCTTTATATATATCTATATATAGATATATATATACCTATATATATATATCTGGAGTATAGAGATCTGCTTTCTAACTCCAGTTTGGACTTGCGGGCTATGGACTGGGAGCAGCTGCCTCAGGCTTCTGGGATTGTGTCTTCCACGTCACGAAAGGTAGGGGTGCAGGTGGAGTTGGTCCATGTACCCATGTTGGGTTTATCCTGCTTTTTATTTATTTATTTTTTGGGTCCCGTCGTGGGGCCTGAACTCTGGGCCTGGGCGCTGTCCCTCAGCTCTTCAGCTCAAGGCTAGTGCTCTACCACTTGAGCCACAGCGCCACTTCTGGCTTTTTTCTTTTTGCTTATGTGGTGCTGAGGAATTGAACCCAGGGCCTCAGGCATGCAAGGCAAGCGCTCTACCACTGAGCCACCTTCCCAGCCCCTTATCCTGCTTTTTAGTGTGCACAGAGTTTTCTACTAGAGGAAAGATGTCCTCTTTCTGTTAGGTTGGTGCAACCGAAGCCTGCAGTTGTTGAGACTACTGAGTACCAGACTGAGATGAGGCCAACCTGGAGGAAGGCACCATTGAGAGACTTCCATGTTTGTGAGTACTAGAGTTAAGTGTACCTGAAGGCATCCCTAGACTTTTCAGTAAATGACACAATAAGTTTTGTTATTTTTCCTAGGTCACAATGAACTGGGTTTCTGCCACTTACCACTTGATGTCACAACACGGTAGAACAAGGAGTAAAGCATGGCTACAGAGAGCTAACCAGGACAGGTGCCAAGTGGCTGGGCTAGCTCAGTCCCTTTCTCTTTCCCCAAGGCTACATCTCTTGACTAAGGACATACCTCCTAGTTTTTCCTTACTGTACCAACCATCAGAGGTCTGATCAGCATGGACAGTGTGGAGGATATTGGGGAGGCGGCTACCTTCTCAAATATATCCCTCAGCATGTCCACGTCCTTCATGAATGACTCAACAGTATCCTTGAACTGATGGAGTTCAGTGAGCAAATCCTGCACAGTCTGCATCGCCTGAGGGGAAAACAAGACTGTGAAATGGGTGTAGCTGGTGTCCAAGCTTCCTGATGACAGCCATCATCCCAGGACTTCTCTTGGTTCTTTCAAGATTTAGGCTGGAATATACTCAGAGACCAACAAATGATATTCAAAACAGTGGTGCTCAAGTCTCAGGAGGCTCTGAGTAAGAAAGGAAGGAAAGGAGCAAGGAAAGACAGGAGGGAGGGAGGGAAGAAGGGAGGAAGCTAGGAAACAAAACAATATATGAGATCATACATCCATCTTTGAAACCTAACTCAGGACAATGGAAATGGAAACAGAGTAGCAGGACTGCTGTAACACAGTAAGTCTGTGTTGCTAACATGTACAAAGCCCTAGTTTCCATCCATACTGTGGAACCTGGCAGCACTTATGGCTCATGCCTGTAATCCTAGCTACTCAGGAGGCTGACAAAGCCAGCCTGGACAGAAAAGTCCTCGTGAGACTCTTTTTCTTTTCTTCCTTCCTTCTTTTCCTTCCTTCCTTTCTCTTTCTTTCTTTCTTTTTTCTTTTTTTGTCAGTCGTGGGGCTTGAACTCTGGGCCTGAACGCTGTCCCTCAGCTCTTCAGCTCAAGGCTAGCATTCTACCACTTGAGCTACAGCACCACTTCTGGTTTTCTGGTGGTTTATCAGAGATAAGAGTTTCACAGACTTTCCTGCCCAGGCTGGCTTTGAACCTCAATCCTCAGATCTCAGCCTCCTCAGTAGCTAGGATTATAGGCGTGAGCCACCAGCACCCGGCAATCCATGAGACTCTTATCTCCAATTAACCACTCAAAAATGGGAAGTGGTGCTGTGGATCATATGAGTGCTAGCTTTGAGCACAAAGAGACTCAGGGACAGTGCCCAAGCCCTGAGTTCAAGCCCCACAACTTACAAAAAAGTACAGAATGGTACTAGCATAGAGTGTTATAGAGTGGAGAGTCTAGAAATAAACCCAGAAGTCTACAGTCTAAACACAGGCAACAAGACCATCTTTACAAATGATGCCAGGACAATAGATACAATTGTGGAAATATGAGCTGGAGTTGGGCACTGATGGCTCATACCAGTAATCCTAGCTACTCAGGAGGCTAGGATCTGTGGATTGTAGTTCAAAGCCAGCCTGGGCAGGAAAGTCTGTGAGTCTGTGAAACTTTTTTTTTTTTCTTTGGTCGGTCGTGGGGCCAATACTCTGGGCCTGGGCGCTGTCCCGTAGCTCAAGGCTAGCACTCTACCACTTGAGCCATTACGCCACTTCTGGCTTTTTCTGCTTATGTGATGCTGAGGAATTGAACCCAGGGCCTCATGCATGCAAGGCAAACACTCTACCACTGAGACACCTTCCCAGCCCCTCTGTGAAACTCTTATCTCCAATTAACCATCAAAAATCCAGATGTGAAGGTGTGGCTCAGTGGTAGAGTACTAACCTCGAACAAAAAAATCTCAGGGACAGGGTCCAGGTCCTGAGCTCAAGCCCCAAGACCAGAGCCAAAATAAATAAGTAAACAAATCAAAATTATTTAAATTTGTGTGATATACAGCAGGTGCTGTTTTGGTTGTAGAGGAAATAAAATGAGGGGGGAAGTTGGTTTTTTTTAAAAATTTTTTGGTCAGTTGTGGGGCTTGAACTCTGGGCTTGGGGCTGTCCCTGTGCTCTTCAGCTCAAGGTGAGCACTCTACCTCTTGAGCCACAGCACCACTTCCGGTTTTCTAGTGGTTTTATTGGAGGTAAGAGTCTTATGGACTTTCCTGCCTGGGCTGGCTTTGAACAGTGATCTTCAGATCACAGCCTCCTCAGTAGCTAGGATTACAGGTGTGAGCCACCAGCGCCAGGCTAAGGGGGGGAAGTTTTTTGTCCACATGGTTGATGATAGTACTGGTGGTTGAACCCAGGGCCTGGCATTTGCTAGGCAGGTGTCTTTACCACTTAAATCAGACTCCCAGTCCTTTCTGCCTTAGTTATTTTTCAGAATAAGGTCATCCATTATGGTAAACCCAGCCTGGATTACAATCCACTTACTAACACTTCCTGTTTAGCTAGGAGATGTTACCCACCATGAACAGCTATTGAGTGAGATGGGGGAGGGGAACCCAAATGTTTGCCTCAGCTGATCTCCAACTGCCATCAGGAGGGAGTTTTGAAATAAAAAGAACAGGTCTAAGCCCAGATTCCTCAAGGTTTTTTTTTTTTGTTGTTGTTGCTTTGTAGGTCACGGGGCTCGAACTCTGGACCTGGGGGCTGTCCCTGAGCATTTCAGCTCAAGGCCAGTGCTCTACCACTTGAGTTACAGCACCACTTCTGGTTTTCTGGTGGTTCATTGGAGATAAGAGTCTCATGGAGCCGGGCGCTGGTGGCTCACGCCTGTAATCCTAGCTACTCAGGAGGCTGAGATCTGAGGATCACGGTTCAAAGCCAGCCCGGGGGCTGAGAAGGTGGCTCAGTGGTTAAAGCGCTTGCCTTGCATGCCTGAGGCCCTGGGTTCGATTCCTCAGCACCACATAAGAAAAAAGCCGGAAGTGGCGCTGTGGCTCAAGTGGTAGAGCGCTAGCCTTGAGCTGAAGAGCTGAGGGACAGTGCCCAGGCCCAGAGTTCAGGCCCCATGACTGGACCCAAAAAAAAAAAAAAAAAAAACAAAGCCAGCCCGGGCAGGAGAGACCGTGAGACTCCTATCTCCAATAAACCACCAGAAAACCGGAAGTGGCGCTGTAGCTCAAGTGGTAGAGCGCTCGCCTTGAGCTGAAGAGCTGAGGGACAGCGCCCAGGCCCAGAGTTCAACCCCCATGACCGACAAAAAAAAAAAAAAAAGAGTCTCATGGACTTTCCTGCTTGGGCTGGCTTTGAATCATGATCCTCAGATCTCAGCTTCCTGAGTAGCTAGGATTACAGGTATGAGCCACCGGTGTCAGGCAGATTCCTCAATTAAAAAAAACAACAACTGGCAGGCAGAACAAAATTATTAATAGTGCCATCATTCTCCATGTCTTCTCCCCCTCCCCCAATTGCAGCCTGTGATGCTGCTCAGCATTATCACTACAGGGGAGAAAACCTAACTAAGGGTTCAACCTTACAGAAGGGTAGCTTCACAGGGAGATGTGGAATCTTGAATGCTGGAAACTGTCACTAGGGGGAGCAAGTGTGCAGGGCCGCGTGGGAAGCACGGGAAGGTCCTTGCTTGGCAGGAGGTTGTAGGGATCAGATGGCCCATGGAAGCTCAGGTTGTTTTTTTGTTTTTCCTCCCTCTCTTCTTCTCTCCTTTCCTTTTTTTTCTTTTCTTTCTTCCTTTTTTCCTTACCCTACCTTACCCCCCACCCCTTCTCCTGCTTCTGCATGCTCTCTTTTCTTTTTTGTGCTGGTCCTGGGGTTGAACTCAGGGCTTGGGTGCTGCCCCTGAGATTCCCCCCCTCCCTCCCCTACTCCCTTGGCTAGAGCTCTACAACTTTAGCCAGAGCTCCATTTTCAGTTTTTATGGTGGTTAATTTGTAGATAAGAGTCTTACGGACTTTCCTGCCTGGATTGGCTTCAAACCGCTAGCTTCAGACCTCAGCCTCTGGAGTAGCTAGAATTATAAAGCATGAACCACAGGTACCTAGCCCCTCTCTCTGATGTTTGCTATGTACTAGCCCAGGCTGGTTTCAAACATGCTACCCTCCTGCCCAGCCTCCTAAATCATAAGCATGCAACACCATGCCCAGCAGAGCCCAGATTTTCTAGTCCAAAAGTCTTTGTCAATGTCTAATCCAGCACCTGCCAAAGCCTGGGGACATTTTTTGGGGGGGGTCTGGTCGTGGGGCCTGAACTCTGGGCCTGGGCACTGTCCCTCAGCTCTTCAGCTCAAGGCTAGCGCTCTACCACTTGAGCCACAGCACCACTTCTGGCTTTTTTCTTTTTGCTTATGTGGTGCTGAGGAATCGAACCCAGGGCCTCATGCATGCAAGGCAAGCGCTCTACCACTGAGCCACCTTCCCAGCCCCTGGGGACATTTTTTATTTGTACAATTAGGGGATGCTTCTAGTTCATACTAGCTAGAGAGGGAGACTCAACATCCTGCAGTGCACAGACCAGCCCTGAGCCTTGAAGAATTATCTGACACAAACTATCAATAGTGCTGAGACTGAGTTCTGGAATCCAGCCCTTCTTATCCGTGACATGTGGTTGGGCCCATGCTCCAAATTTGATGGTGTCCTGACCAAGAGACAGGTCCCTAGTACACATCTGTAGATCTTCCCAAGCCTCCAGCCCACCAAGGGCTGGTCATTCACCCTTTCTGGGATGGGTGCTGGCAGGCTTCAGACTCCCTTCTATATCCCCCTTGAGGGGCATTTGACAAGGGTAGCAGAGGCCCCTAACCCACCCAGCCCAGAATGAGGGGCGGACGGGTCAATTGAGGCAATCATCAGGACTGACATGCATATGGCCCGCCAGCCTCACTGGCTGCTAGGTGCAGACACTTAGCAAAGCAGCTTGCACCATTCTAGCACTAGCTACCATAGCAACCCGCTTCAATGGGTCATTGTGGTAACCCTAGGCAACCGAAATCAAGTTGGAAGCAGGCATCATTCTCTTAATGGAAGGGATATTCCTTATCTGTACAAACAGTCCTTTGAGGGCTGTAGGAGCCAGGTCTGAACCTGTCCATGAAGCCCTCTCAGGAGCTGGGTGGGTGACCTTGTTCAACTGCTTAGGGCAATTAGAGAATTCTGTAACCCTTTACTCACTCTCCATTTGCAGGCTGGGGGTAGGCTGCCATAAGGGGCTGGCATAGCAGACATCAGTGCCTTCTGCCTGTCCAACCTGCGAGGCTGCCACCATCTCCTGCAGCCTTGTCTCCGGCAGCACTGTCTATGTTGTCTGGTGTGGAGCCACACCAACCCTGTTCTATTCCTGTGTATATGGAGTATCTTTGCTTTCTACTTCTCAGTGTCTTTGAATCTAAAGCATGTCTTGGGCTGGAGACATGCATCAAGCAGGTAGAGCGCCTATCAAGTGTGAAGCCCTGAATTCAAACTCCAGTGTTTAAAAAAAGTATTGGCCGGGCGCCAGTGGCCCACGCCTGTAATCCTAGCTACTCAGGAGGCTGAGATCTGAGGATCACGGTTCAAAGCCAGCTTGGGCAGGAAAGTCCGTGAGACTCTTATCTCCAATAAAACCACTAGAAAACCGGAAGTGGCACTGTGGCTCAAGCGGTAGAGAACTCGCCTAGTGCTGAAGAGCGCAGGGACAGTGCCCAAGCCCAGAGTTCAAGCCCCACCACCGACAAAAAAAATAAATAAATAAAATAAAAATAAAATTAAAAAAGTATTGTCTTGGGGCTGGGAAGGTGGCTCAGTGGTAGAGCGCTTGCCTTGCATGCATGAGGCCCTGGGTTCGATTCCTCAGCACCACATAAGCAAAAAGAAAAAAAGCTGGAAGTGGCACTGTGGCTCAGGTGGTAGAGCGCTAGCCTCGAGCTGAAGAGCTGAGGGACAGTGTCCAGGCCCACAATTCAGGCCCCATGACTGACAATAAATAAATAAATATCTCTTTTTAAAAAAATAAAGCTAGGGGCTGGGAAGGTGGCTCAGTGGTAGAGGGCTTGCCTTGCATGCCTGAGGCCCTGGGTTCAATTCCCCAGCACCACATAAGCAAAAAGAAAAAAGCCGGAAGTGGCACTGTGGCTCAAGTGGTAGAGTGCTAGCCTTGAGCTGAAGAGCTGAGGGACAGCGCCCAGGCCCAGAGTTCAGGCCCCATGACCAGACCCAAAAAAAAAAAAAAATAAAGCTAGAAGTGGGGCTGTGGATAAAATAGTAGAATCTGAGCAAAGGAAGCTCAGAAAACAGCACCCAGGCCATGTTCAAGCCCTAGACATGTGCACATACACCCACGCACAAAAGTACTATTCCACAGTGTTTGGTGCCAAGCATCAGCCCTGTCTAGCAGTGATTTCACTCACCTGAAAGATCCTGGTTCCCTGACCAGTCCCTCCCATTCTTCATCTCAGAAAATGAAGAACCTGAGTTGGCTCTACAGATAGGCTCTGCTGGACACTCCACATACATGGAATCTCACAGGCCATGGCCCTGTCCTGACTTGTCCATGAGGGCCCAGGTTCCTCCCTAAAATGTCTGTACCTCTTAGCCTTGGCAGAATGGGATCCCGCTCCCCCTACCTGCCCCCGGCTCAGGCCCTGGTGTTCCTCCAGGATACTAGGGCCAGCTGACTGCTGAGACTGCAATCCACATGTTTCTGGGCTTCTAACAGCCAGCCTAAGTAGGGTACCTGGATGTATCAGGTTCTGTGCCAGGTACTTGGCGTGCACTGCCATTCAGTGTGATTTTTTTTGTGCCAGTCCTGGGGCTTGAACTCAAGGCCACAGCACTGTTCCTTGGCATTTTTTTTCCTCAAGGCTAGTTCTCTAGCATTTGATCCAGGGCTCCACTTCTGACTTTTTGGTGGTTAATTGGAGATAAGACTGGCAACTTTCCTGACATACACTGGTTATTTGTCCACACTAACTGCATGCCGGGTAGGTGAGCAGCCCTCAACCATGATTAGCTGCTGGATATCTAGTGAGTTAAGGAGAGTCACTTTCCTGGCCTTCGTAATGAGGACACTGCACCCTCCTCTCTCTACATGGCTACTTCTCATGGCTTTGTATTCCCATGCTTTGTCCATCTGTCTCTTCCACTAGGCTGAGAGCACCTGGTCACCATGATTACAACAGTGCCACCTCGACATTTTTTTTTTTTAATGGAGGTGAGTGTCCTGTAACACACAGTTGGATGTTTTCAAGGGCACAGTTCAGTGGTGTTTAGCACGTCAATAGAGTTACGCATCTATCACCTCTATTTAGCTCAGAATCTGTTCATTACCTCAACAAGAAATCCCACACTCATCATTCCTTACTACCCTCTCCTCAGGCCCAGGGAAACCTAGGCCTGGGTCTCTGCATTTACCTATTCTGGGTGTTTTGTGTAAATCACACACCATGTGTTAGAAGAGGGAAGCAGTGGGGTTTGGAGGCTTCTGGAAGCCCGTGTTACCTTTACTATGGCCTCCTCGTTGCACTCCGTCTTCTTCTGGAGCTTGAGGAAATGCCACAGGTCCACCATGGGCCGCTTGTCCCCTGTGCTGCTCTCTAGAAGGTGGATGGTGGAGGGCAGGGTCTTCAGGATGGACAGCTGACTCTCTAGCTTGTTAATGCGGCCCAGCACAGGATCAGAGTTGTCAGGCTGCTTTAAGGATGGAAAGATGGGCTGAGCAGCAACTTCCTTGGGTGAAGGCATCTTTGAGGTCTGGAGGAAATCCTCTTCCCCGGAGAGGTCCTTCTCAAGCTCGTCCAAATGAAGGTGTTTCAAGATGCCCTGGAGCACGAGATGCAGGGCCCTGAAGTTCACCACTCCATACTTGGGAACAGCAATGTTGGTCAACTCAGCAAATGTGAGGGATGGGCTCATCTTACTGAAGTGTAGGTTGATAGGAAAAGGGTTTTGGATTGTCCTTAAGGACAAGTTGCTTTCAGTGGCCCAAAATGCTGCATAGGCAGAAGCTTGGGAGGTGGCTGGTCACAGTGATCAAGGAAAGAATGGCCTCTGTCCTGGAGCTGATTGGCTTTTGGTTACTAGGAGACCAGAGAACATGATCAAGACACATGCTTCTGAGAGCCTGGGCAGGCCAGGTGCACTGGGGCGCACTTCACCCAGAAGAGATGACCCATTAATATTTGATGAATATTTGAATGGTGAACTGGCAGCCTCTTCATTGAAGCCCTCTGATCACGTAAGGCTGATGGTCCTTCCTAAGAGGTCTGGAGGGAGGGGATGGAAATGCAGCTTGCTCCTCAGAAGTCTCTAGAATCAGGACTGAAACCAGATTTCTTTCTTTCTTTCTTTCCTTTTTTTTTTTTTTTTTTTTTGTCGGTGGGGCTGAACTCTGGGCCTGGGTGCTGTCCCTCAGCTCTTCAGCTCAAGGCGAGCGCTCTACCTCTTGAGCCACAGCGCCACTTCCAGTTTTCTGAGTGGTTTACTGGAGATAAAGAGTCTTGGACTTTCCTGTCCAGGTTTGGCTTCGAATCATGATCCTCAGGTCTCAGTCTCCTGAGTAGCTAAGATTACAGGCATGAGCCACCAGCGCCCGGCTTGAAACCAGATTTCTTAAGAGTCAGGAATGTCCAAGTTCAAGTGCTGCCTTGAAGGCCAGGTTTTAAGAGAAAAGGACAATGAGAAAAGAACCTGAAGAACTAAGCTCATTTGTGGACATGGCCAAATGCACCCCATATTCATTAGGGTTGTCTGGAGAGACTGACAGGACACACTGATAGCAGTGGGAGGCATTTATTAGGGACTGGCTTCTGTAGTTACAGAGGCTATAGGCTGGAGGCTCTGGAGTGCTTTACTAGGTATTCCTTAAGCCAGTCAAGGTGACATTTGAAATGGACTATCACACCCCCTAACGAATGCCTCTTGGTTCCCTGTTGTGCTGTGCCCAGCCAGTTCCCCATCAGCCAGACCTGCCACTCCTACCCACTTCTCACCTGCCAGGCTTTACCTCCCTCCCAGCCCTCACGAACGTCCCAACGACCCATCCCATCCTCCTACAGAAAACCAGGGCACCTCTCCCCCTTGTTACTACAAAGCCAGCTTTCCCTGGGCCTGGTGGCTCCATCTGTTCCCCTGTGCATGCTCTCCCACCATGTGGTGTCCTTCCCTGGATGGTGAGAATATGAGATGGGTCCCTGTACCTGTCAGTGTCAGGGCTGGGCATTGGTCTACTTCATCCTATGGAAGGTAAGGGGCCTTCTGCGGTGTGATATCTGGAGTTCTTGGCACTCCTTCAAGGTACAGACATTTGTGTGTGTGTGTGTGTGTGTGTGTGTGTGTGTGCGTGTGCGCGCGCACGCTGAACTTGGGGCTTGAACTCGGGGCCTGGGCACTGTCCCTCAGCTCTTCAGCTCAAGGCTAGCACTCTACCACTTGAGCCACAGCGCCACTTCTGGCTTTTTAGCGGTTAATCAGAGATGAGTCTCATTGACTTTCTTGCCTGGGCTGGCTTTGAGAGCTGGGCCTCCTGACTAGCTAGGATTACTGGCATGAGCCACTGGTGCCTGGTAAAGGAACAGACCTTTTTCTTCCTTCTCTTTCTAGTATCAGAACCAGAGCCCAGCACATGGCAGGTACTTAGCACACTTTTGCTCAATGGATGATGGCTCCAAAGGAGCTGTCAGCTCTCAGGGGGCCACATTAACCATAGAGATATAAAATAAACATCAGTCTCCTAATGGATGGCAGGCGTGTGAACAGCAGAACCCTCACATGCTAAGGCATATGAACAGGCATGAGTGCTGTGCCAAGTATTTTTTTTTTTTGTCGGTCGTGGGGCCTGAACTCTGGGCCTGGGTGCTGTCCCTCAGCTGTTCAGCTCAAGGCTAGCGCTCTACCACTTGAGCCATAGCACAACTTCCGGCTTTTTCTTCTGCTTATGTAGTGCTGAGGAATCGAACCCAGGGCCTCATCCATGCAAGGCAAGCGCTCTACCACTGAGCCACCTTCCCAGCCCTGTGCCAAGTATTTGGTATGACCAAGTGGAGCAGCTCCATACACCCTGTGACCCAGCCTTGTAGGGCACACAACAGAGAGAGCCTCAGGTCACATACTGGGGTGTTTGTAACAGCACTATTTGTAAGAGGCAAAATCCACATCTGGGATTTCCAAGACTCCAGGAGCAGCCAAACAGACAAACTGGGTCATATCTGCACATGGGAGTATTATACACAAGGAAGAACATCAATGGGTCCTATGTTTGGCACTCACAGCTATAAAACTGGGTGGAAGCAGCCACACCAACCAAGTTCACGCTGCAGGAACCCAATGCTGTACAAAATACAAAGATGAAGACGCCCACCTCTGAGTGTGGTGCCAGTGTGGTGGTATATGCCTGGAGTCCCAGCAGCTGGGAGGCTGCGGCAGGAGGACTGCAAATGACTCTCGGGTAACCTGGGCCCGCAGCAGGGAGCATGAGGTAGATTTCTGGGGTGTGGTCTGATGAGAGAAATTCACACCCACCACTCAGAGCACTGTGAGGAGGAGCACCGTCCTGTAGCACTGTGATGGGGAGCACCGTCCTGTATCGGAGGTCTGGAATTCTGCGATGCCCAAATCCAGACACGCTGGCTAGCTTGGCTGGCAGGCTCCTTCGCTGGCCTGTGCTGCATGCAAAGAACTGGCCTGGCAAGGACGGGCTCTCACCCAGCCCTGGGGCGTGAGGACGCACACCCAGGCCTGGGGTGGGCAGGGTGCTGGCTGTGAGACCCTGAGCATGTCCCTCACCGACCCTGGCCCTGCATGTAATTTGGGAGTCAGAGGTAAGCGTGTGCGGGCTTTCCGCTGAGCTGGAGGGAGATGTGCATCCGGTGCTCGGCTGGGTGCCCAGCACACAGTGCTTAGTGATGTTAGCTTGTCGGAGGCTTTCAGGCTCCTGGTGCATCAACCTGCTATAAGGGCAGTGGAGACCAAGGAGGAAGCAGAGGAGGCGGATACTTCCTCCTGAACAGGTCACAGCTCCCATGGGCATTCCAAATGTCCTTCGGTCACCTGGGGCTTTTGCATTCCAAAAATGACACACTGTATATCCCAACCAGCTCCAACTTATATAAGAATTCAAAAACAGGGCAAAATGAATCTATTCTTAAGAACAGGGTAGTGACTTCCCAGTGGGGGCTGCTGAATGGAAGGGGCCAGGGAGGCTGTGGGTGGGGGAGGGAAGGTTGGTCACACTCTGGGTCCCAACCTGGTGCCAGTGCTGGCTGTACCGGTGAAAAATCACCAAGCTAAACACTTTGTTGTTGTTGTTTGGTTCATTGTGGGGCTTGAACTCTGGGCCTGGGTGCTGTTCCTGAGCTCTTCAGCTCAAGGTGAGCACTCTACCACCTGAGCCACAACACCACTTCCAGTTTTCTGGTGGTTCATTGGAGATAAAGAGTCTCCCAGACTTTCCTGCCTGGGCTGGCTTTGAACTGTATCCTCAGATCTCAGCCTCCTGAGTATCTAGGATTACGAACGTGGGCTACCGGTGCCCTGCACAAGCTAAACACTTACAAGCACTTGTCTTTGTAGCATCTCAATGTACTATGTCGGCCTCATTTTTTATTTGTTCTTCTTTTGAGCAGGGTCTTGGTATGTAGCTTAGGCTGGCCTCAATGGCCCCGATCCTCCTACCTCAGCCTCCTGAGTGCTAGGATTACAGATACATGTAACACCACTCTGGGCTTATCAGGTCTGATTTAAACTCTGGTCTAAAAACAATAGACTGAGAAAGGTGGCTTTCTGTGCTGTCACGCAAGGCAACAGGGGACTTGGTCCTGCCTTGTGTGCCACTGTGCTGCCACCTTGAGCTGCTGCTGCATTGAAGCACACAGTCAGGAGCACGGGCTTAGGCACTGAGGGGTGTGTGTGAGAGGGTGGGGAACTGCCCACTTAAGTCCAAGAAGTGTTTGTTCACGGCCAGAGGATGGCGTGAGAGGTGATCAGAGGGCCGCCAAGTGCAAAGGCACCTGTTGCGGAAGTTGTGCCAGGCCTCTGGTGCTCCTGCCGCCCCAGTTTTGCTAAAATCTGGACTAAAAATAAAAGGCCGCCGGCTCTGCAATACACGTGTGCTGATGGGAGGCGAGCCTCAGGAGCCAGGGGAAGAGCCAGTGACGCGGAAGGAGCTGCGTTCTGGTGTCCCGAAGAAAAGGTGAGACGAGCAGTTCCACTCCAAGGCGGAGCAAGTACCTCCTGGGACAGACGTGGGCTCCTGATTGAACAACTGGAGGATTCCAGAGCAAGAAGCAAACAACGTGGCTCTACCCTGTACAAAGATGCTGGCCTCTGCTTTGTTGTTTCCTTCTGTTTTTGAAGCCTTCTCAAGTTGCTCTGGGTGCCTCTGTCTCCCTCATTTGCTAGTAACAACTGTTTTATAATATCTAGTTCACATTCTATACAATTCCATCTATGTATTTTTTTTTCTTTCTGCTAGTTGTGGGGCTTGAACTCAGGGCCTGGGCACTGTCCCTGAGATTTTCTGCTTAAGGCCAGTGCTCTACCACTTTGATCCACAGCTGGTTTTCTGGTGGCTAAATGGAGATAAGAGTCTTAGGAACTTTCAAGCCCAGGTTGGCTTCTAACCACAATCTCAGATCTTGGCCTCCTGAGCGGCTAGAATTTCAGGTGTGAGCCACCAGCACTCAGTGGAATCCATCCATTTACAATGTACAATTCAGTGGTTTTCAGGGTGTGTGCAGACAATCTGTTTCAGAACATGCTTTAATCACTCTAAAAAGTACTTTCTCCTCATTTTCCTTTTCTTCTTCCAGTGGTTTTTCCTTTTCCTTCTTTCTTCCCCCCCCACTCCTCACCCCGAACTATTAGACTGCTATCACTCTGACAAAATATCTGAGGGAGATCCTCTTGAGAAAGGAAAGGCTTACTGTGTCTCAGTCTCAGAGGCTTTAGTTTGTGGTCACATTTCCCCATCACTGTGGGTCTGTGGTGAGGACCGAGAATCACGGTGGGGGTGCATGCCACTCACCACATAGTGGCTGGGAACAGAGACAGCAAAGAAGGGGCAAGGTCAACTTGTACTCTTCCATGACATGCCCGAGTGACCTACTTTCTCCAAGCAGGCCCATACGTTGTAGTTTCCACCACTTCCCAATAATGCCATCAGCTGGCAACCAAGCTTTAGCTCTGGCCTTTGGGGGTACACTTCAGATCCAAATGGTAAGAGACATTTTGTGTAGATGGAGTCAGACAATACATGGTCCTTTGTGACTGGCTTCTTTCACTTTGTACAATGGTTTGATATTTTTATCCATGTTGTAGCCTATAGCAGTACATCATCCCTTTTCATGACTAAATAATATTGTGTTGTATAAATAGGCTCCATTTTGTTTATCCATTCATCAGCTGATGGACAGTGGGGTGTCACAGAAAACCAGAGCTAGACAGAAGCAAAAGCTGCATACACAGATTTTATTCAGGAATAACTGTAACAGGGGAAAAGTGAAATAGGCTCAATTCTGAAGACGACAAAGCAAGTAGGCATTTATACCTAAGGAGTGGGAGGGTGCTGTTGGTAGATGGAATACTACTAAGGGCAGGGTAACTCTTGGCTAATCTGATCTAACAAGACCTTTGCTGAAGGCAGGCCAGGGTAGACCCAGCACCCTGGGGTATGATAGGGATGAGGACTTAGGTCAGAAATCTAGGATGGGAACTTATCTAATAAGACTGGTGCTAAAACTGAGCAACACAAAGAAAGTTTCAGATGTTCAAAAGCTGAAGTCCTCTGATTCAGAGGAGACTGACTGAAGTTTGATCTGTTATTCTTACTCTTTAGCAGTTAGGAATATGACCTTCCAGACTATGAACAATGGCACACAGGTCTTTGTGTGGATGTATTTCCTCTGTTCTCTTGGAGCATATTTCTGGAAATGGAATATATTTGTTTTAGACAAAGTTGCTATGTAGCCAGGGCAGGCCTCAAACTTTCGATCCTCCTGCCTCTTCCTCTTAAGTGATAGGATTACAGGGATATATCCATATGTGGTTGTTTTTTTTTGGGGGGGGGGGTTGCATTGGTTGTTTTTCGCAGGCCTTGGAGCTTGAACTCAGGGCCTGGGCACTGTCTGTGAGCTTTTTTCACTCAAGGTTAGTGCTCTACCACTTTATCTTTTCCTTTCATTTCCTTTTTCTTTCTTTCTTTCCTTCCTTCCTTTCTTCTTTCTTTTTTCCTTTGTCTTTTTTTATTTTTTTTGGTCAGTCGTGGGTCTTGAACTTTGGGCCTGGGCACTGTCCCTGAGCTCTTCATCAGAAAGCAAGTACTCTACCACTTGAGCCACTGCGCCACTTCCGGTTTTCTGGTGGTTCATTGGAGATGAGTCTCAGACTTTCCTGCCTGGGATGGCTTTAAATTGTGATTCTCAGATCTCAGCCTCCTGAGTAGCTAGGGTTACAGGCGTGAGCCATCAGCCTCCGGCTCTTTTCTTTTCTTTCCATTTCTTTCCTTCCTTCCTTTCCCTCCCTTCCTTTTCCTTCATTCTTTCTCTTTCTTTTTCTCTTTCTTTCTTTCCTTCCTTCCTTCCTCTCTCTCTACCTTTCTTTCTCTCTTTCTTTCCTTCCTTCCTCCCTTCCTTCCTTCCTTCCTTCCTTTCCTCCTTTGTCAGTCCTAGGGCTTGAACTCAGGGTCTGGGTACTATCCCTGAGCATTTATATTCAGGGCTGGCACTCTTACCACTTGAGCCACAGCTCCACTTCTGGCTTTTTGGTGGTTAACTGGAGATATGAGTTTCACAGACTTTCATGCCAGTGCTGGCTTCAAACTATGCTCCTAGATCTCAGACTCCTGAGTACCTAGGATTACAGGCATGAGTCACCAGCCCCTGGCTTTACATTTAATCTTTTAAGGAACATTTGCCTTCATACCACACACACTTCAGTTGTTTCATTTATTACTGGATTCTTATTCAAGGCAGCTGGGAGGTGATGAGTCAATCTTGTAGGTGACCAAATTGAGGCCCAGAGCTCTCCCAGGCCAGCCAGTACTAATAATTGCCATTTGTATTGGGTGGCAGCAGCATGCCAGGCACTGTGAGCAGTGGCTCAGTGCGTGAAGCCAGTCCCACACAACAAGCTGCTGTCATGTCTCTCCCATTTTGAAGCCAGAAGTATTAAATACTCTGAGGAGCTCCACACCAAGGTGTGACCTAAGACTTGAACTCTGTTTCTTCTGACTAAAACTTAGGCTCTCACTGGTTTTGGCACCGGATCCCAAATGGATCCCGGAGGATCAGCAAATTTTCATAAGGCATCTGGTGGGGCTGGCATGTCCCATTCTATTTGCCCTCTGCTGTGGGAGACACATTTGCCACCCTTTAGTCCACACTTTATTTCTCTTTCTTGGTTTCTACAGGTCTTTTCTCTGGATCCCTCAGAGCCCCCTTCCCTTCCTAAGGTAACTTCCTGCCTCATATTTCAACATGACTTCTTAGCTACTGAACAGGACATATTCCAAATTCCCTCAGATCTGCATCTTTCTTCTACCCAGTCATACAAAACTATTTTTCTGGTCTGGGGGTGGAGCTAAGTGGGAGAGCATGTGCCTCACATGTATGAGGCACTGGGTTTCTAACTCCAGCAACACACACACACACACACACACACACACACACACACACACACACACACACACACACACACACTACCCCTACATGTATTTCCCCAGACACCACATTTCACTTCTTTATGACTTTGCATAAGTAGCTCTCCTGCCCAGAGTGCCCTTTACCTCTTTTTTCACCTGGGGAACTCCTACACATCCTTGAAGCACCAGCTTAATTGCCCATCTCCTCTTTGAATCATTCCTTGTCTGGGTATTCCCTCCTCTGAACTCTCAAAGCTTGCTGACATCTTCAAAATAAGCTATTATGTTAGCCTCCCTAGCTGGACTGTGTACATTTTGAGAACAGAGATTGGGCTTCATTCCATTTTGTATATTTCCAGGGCTAGGACAAGACCTTGCTTGGTCAAGTGACTAAATGATGTAGATATAGCTTCTACATCCATACTGTCCAATTCAGTAGCCACAAACCACATGCGACAAACTTTTGAAATGGGACCAAACTAAATTTAGCTGTAAATTAAAATATACAATAAAATAATACAACACATTCCAAAGATGGTGTGAAAATAAATACATCCACTGGTATTTTTATGCTAATACTGACATATTTTGCACATGTTGGGATATATAGTTTCATTGAAATTAATTTCACCCGTGTTTTACATGTCTAAAAAAAATTATATGTATATGCTGGCCTCTCAGTTTCCTAATGGCCTCCATTGGTCTAAAGCACTCTTCACAGAGGAAACAGAATCAAATCATATATAGCTAAGTCTTACGTTTAGGATAATTATATACTATAAAATCTACTACAAATGATGAATTAGTAAAAAACGTTTAAAACAGAAAAACAAAAACAAATGATGAATTAGTGAACACTAAGCCACTACTTCCGGGGTGTGGGGGGAATGTAGGGTTAAGTCCTTGTGAGCCTCTGGTCACACATGCTTGTGAACAAATCAGTGTGCAACGTTGGATTTATGAGTATATAAAGAAACCTTGTTAGATATATTGTTGATTCAAAGCCAACTCTGAAGTTCATTTAACACATTTTCTCAGTAACACACTTCACAGCTTTCTTAGGCTTAGGAACTAGAGAGCACTTTAAACCCTAAGCTTGGGGCTGTGTTAAACAGCAAAGTCACAACAAGAAACACAAAAATGAGAGATTCATAGCACTTAAAGAGATTTACCCCCCCACCCCCCACCCCAAGAGACACTTGAAGGCTAAATTTGACTTCAGCTTAAGAATGTGCAGAACTGTATGTTCACGAATGAATGAGAAAGCACCATAGTGCTTTGGGGGTTAGAAATCAATGTCAGTGAGCAGGTGTATCTGTGAAGCAAATACAAAACCTTGTGAATGAGGGTGATCGATTGTAATTCTACTGTCTAACGCTCTTCAGCGGCGTGAGCTGACGCTCAGAGTAACCCAGCCAAGTTCCTCACCATAGCCTTTACCGTCCAGTCCTTCCCCACACGAGCCAGCCCCTCACCTCCCTGTCCTGAGGAAGCAGGCCCTAAGTCCCAGTTAGGACATCTGGCGACTTTCCTTCCTGGCCCGGGGCGTTTCGTGATGGACTTGGTTTACTGTCTACCCGAAGGGAAGGTCCTCTGAGCGCAGGCGCAGTAACTTTACGCTCAGCGCCTAAACTGACAACTGTTTGCAAAAGAAAAAAAAAAGTGCGCCATCCTTTCCCCGCGTGCGGGAGCTGCGGGGAGCGGCGGGGGACCGGACAGGGCCGGAGAACGCACGCCAGCCCCGCGGTTCCCAGGACGCCGCAACCTTCGCCCCAGCTGACTGACAGGCTCCCGGTCCTCCCACGTGCTCAGGTCGCGCCCGAGACGCCCCGCCCCCTGACGTCACGGGGAGGGTCACGTGCCGCGCGAGGCCCAGCGCCTCACCGAGACGCCACCGGAGCCTACCGGCCTCCTCTGACAGGGCGCGACCACCAACTGCTGAGGCGGCCGTTCCGGCCGCAGCGTTTCCTCTGCTGACAAGCGGCGGGGACGGTGAGTCGCCTCGGCGTGTTCGGGGGTGGCGTCTCTCCCAGGAACCGCCTCTTAACGCCCATCACCCTCATCCTGAACGGGGGGCTGGGCCTCACTCCTCACAGGCCCGAGTGACCTGGGGGCGCGAAGTCCCGCCCCTTTCCCGCATTGCACGCCGGGCGCTTAGATCCCTGCCTCCGGGCTTGCGGCGGGACTACAAGTCCCAGGAGTCTTCGGGCGCACAGTTTGACTACAAGTCCCAGGAGGCTCCGGGCGCGCAGGCGGTCTGCTGGTCCCCCGGGGCCGCTGGGCACACGGGGGCGGCGTCCCCGCAGAACCTGCGGGTGGAGGGGGCTTACTGGTCGTCGGGTAGGAAGACCCTTACCCGTCTTCACGTCCCAGACAAGCCTTGGTGCTTGGCTTCGGAGGTAAAAGGGGGGTGGGGACGGCTTGGCTCTGCTCGTCTCCTTCGGGATGGGTGCTGAGACCCCGGGCGGCCTGAGGGCGAGGGGGTGGGTATTCGGTGGTAGTTGCAGCCGCGGGGCTGCGGCGACCGCTCTTCCGGAGCCTTGGGGTTACCAGGCTCGAGGGCTTGGCTTCTGGCGTGGCCCCCTCTGATCACTGGTTCCCACGATTTTTGAAGCTTGGGCCATTTCTCCGCGGAAGATGAGGGAGCCAGGGGTCTGAAGGAGGGTCTCCAAGCAGAGCAGCCCTGACGAGCCCCGCGGGTGACCTTGGCGGTCCCAGAGGAGCTCTCCCCGCGCTCCCCCCCCCCCCCCGCCCCGGGCTCGCCGGCGCGTGCGGGACTGGTGGACGTGACACTGCGGGGCCCTCGAGCAAACTGGTTAGGGAGGCGGCCGGCCACCCAGGACCTTGACAAAGGTGGATTCCTTGGGTCCTCTCAACAGGTGGCAAGAGAGATGGAGTAATCGGCCCAGGATCTTCTGCGTCAGAACGACTAGGGCCCTTGTTAACAGAGAAGATTCCTGGGTCCACCTTCACCCCCTTTCCTAGGTTCTTACTGGGTACTTTACGGGGGTGCAGCACAAGAATCTGTATTTAACACGCTCCTCAGATAACTCCCCGGTACACTTGGGGCTGAGGATCAAGGGCTCCTGTCAGGGGGCACATCCTTGTGTTTATTATGGCCGTTTTGTATATGTTCTCTGGGGCGGAATGTGGACAGTCAGGGCATAGGCAAATGGGGTCGCTCTCCTTGGTACTTTGCTTCTTCCTGGGGGCTGACCAGAGTTGGGTGGGGTGAAGAGGCCAGCCAGCTCTACTTGCCCTCCCTCTGCTCTTCTTTAAAACATTTTTATTAGCACGTACTGGTTGTGATATATCTATAAGTACATACATTGGACTCTGTTCAATTTCTTCTCTATCATTCTTCTTCATCCATCTTACGCTATGGCACCCCCGCCGTCTTTTGAACTTGAAGGGTTAGGGTTACAGACGTGAGCCACCAGTGCCCAACTACCCTGTTCTCCTAATGGGAAAGGTATTGTTAATCACTGGCCGTTTCAGGAAACCCAACCACTCCACATTTAATTAGGAAAAATCTGAAAATACAGACAAGTTGAATTTTTCCATTGGATGCATATCAACCTCTGCCTAGAATGTACGCACAGTTAATGTTTCATTGTACTTTATCAAATACCCAGTATTGTTTATACATGCCAAAGTATTAGCACATTAGTACATTTCATTAGATAGCATGTTAGTACATTTCAGTTCCAAATAATTAAGCATGCACATCATTAGAGTCTTAGAATCTTGTTGCTTTTTTTTTTTTTTTTTTTGTCGGTCGTGGGACTTGAACTCTGGGCCTGGGCGCTGTCCCTCAGCTCTTTAGCTCAAGGCGAGCGCTCTACCACTTGAGCTACAGCGCCACTTCCGGTTTTCTGGTGGTTTATTGGAGATAGGAGTCTCATGGTCTCTCCTGCCCGGGCTGGCTTTGAACCGGGAGCCTCAGGTCTCAGCCTCCTGAGTAGCTAGGATTACAGGCGTGAGCCACCAGCGCCCTGCTTGTTGTACTTTTCTTGTCAGCTGAACCTATGACACATTTCCATTTTGTGTTAGAATTCTCTTCAAAAGTCACCCAAGGCAATTCTTGTACCTTTCTTTACCTACTTCTACCTGTTGTGGCTTTTTTCTTCAGTAAGAAAAAAACCCAGACACTGGAAACAGCTCTGAATCCAGACTGAATTAACATTTATTGAACACTAGTAGCAATCTAGTTTTCAGCACTCACTCACAAACCAGGGACACTGGAAAAGTAACAACAAATATTTTCTGTAAAGTGATCTAATATTGGCAAAAATGTGCTAATTGTTTTCACAAAAAGTCCAGAATATTACTGAATTGGACTCAAGTTCCTGGTTTAAGTAATCCTTCCACCTCAACTCTTGGGACTACAGGAGTATGTATGCCCCTGAGCCTGTTTGATGGACCTATTTGTCCTGTATTACATGGCTTCACATTGTTTTTACTTAATCTAATGTGAAGGAACCCTAATCTTTTCCACACTTATAGTGGATACAGGCCTGAGTGTTGTTCTTCACCTAGATGGGAACGAATGAGGCTCGGAGAAGGCCAATGGCTTCAACTTCACAGGACTGGCCTCCATTAAGGTCTGCTGACTCTACCTCTAAGCAGTGCTGGTCCCAAGATCCCAGCGCTATCCCCAGAGCACTGCTGACTCAGAGTAGAAGAGGCAGAGTAGGGCCAGGGCTCAGAAGTTGGCCAGACAAGCCATCTCCTTTAGAGTAAAGGTCTATCCACCTCCCTTTCTGCCGCCCCCATCCCCGAATAGTATTTGGGAGAATCCAGACAGAGCACAGATGAGACAAGAAACCTTCCATCAGCACTGCCAACCTGGCTCTCTTCTCCTTCCACTCAGGGCCAGGTACTCTGCAGAACTTCCCTGGCATGCTGTCTTCCCACTAGATCATTGTCTACATACAGGGCAGAGATAATAGCATGCAATTCTATGACTTTAACTGACACATTTCTCAAACTGTCCTCTATGAGGAAAAATACATCCATCTTGAATAGTGTTTCTGAAACAGACAAATTTCTATAGGGCCTGTCTCTTCTGTCTCAAATGAACTGGGTAAGAGAGGGATTGGCATGTGACTATGGGACCAAATACTGGGGCCCAGGAACTCAAAGCCATGCCCTCTTGAGCTTGCCAAATGTGCTTCCCAACCCTGCTCCCAAGAGCTTAAAAAACATCCACCAAACCAGGTAAGTTCACTTCAATTATTGTCAGCATGATCTGCTGGGGCAGTGTGGCCTCTGAAGCACATTACATTCTCTCCCTCTCAAAACAATCTTAGTCCCTGAAGTATTCACACATTCCATGGTTCTACTCTCAGGGTGATTCTAGAATGATGGATTTTAAGTCCTCCTAAGAGCACACTAAAGGTCTCTCCTGTTTCATCAGGCACATGCTAAGGAAATACCTCCAATCTCTGGATCTTCAGGGCTAGGAGGCTTGTGTTGGTAAAAAAGCAATAAGCAATCTGGGCAACAGTGGCCCATAATCCTAACTACTCAGGAGGCCGAGATCTCACCATCAGGGTTTGAAGCCAGCCCAGATCTACAAATCTGAGAAAACTCATCTCTAATTAACCAGCAAAAAGCTGGAACTGAAGATGTGGTTCAAGTGGTAGAGTGAATGCATTAGTGAAAAAAGCTAAGTGAGAGTGCAAGGACCCGGGTTCAAGCTTCAGTACTGAGGGGGGAAAAGCCAGAAGTGAAGGCATGGCTCAAGTGGTAAAGTACCAGCGATAAGCAGAAAAAAAAGACTGTGAGGTCCTGAGTTTAAGCCCCAGAACTGGCAAACACACACATACAAAAATAAAAATTTTTAAAAAGCAACAAGAGCCGGGTGCTGGTGGCTCACGCCTGTAATCCTAGCTACTCAGGAGGCTGAGATCTGAGGCTCCCGGTTCAAAGCCAGCCCGGGCAGGAGAGACCGTGAGACTCCTATCTCCAAAAAACCACCAGAAAACCAGAAGTGGCACTGTAGCTCAAGTGGTAGAGCGCTCGCCTTGAGCTGAAGAGCTGAGGGACAGCGCCCAGGCCCAGAGTTCAAGCCCCACGACCGACCAAAAAAAAAAGAAAAGTACAACAGCTTTACAAGTTGGGGCTATAGAACAAATGAGATTTTTGTTCAGTATGGGGCTCTCTGTATGTGTTTGTTCTTTGTTCCTCCTTGGTGGGTTCTCACCTGTCATCCTCAGTAGTACAAATCTTCCAGCTGGGGAAGCAACAGGGTGTCTTCCATGAAGTTTCCACACATCAGAGCAGGGCTGCCCACCCAGCTCTCTTGAACATTAGGGGTTAAAGGAAGAGAAGACCAGGGAAATAGGCAGGAAACAGGTTTCCTGGCCCCACTGTGATTACATCTCCATGGCACTGATGGTACAATTCAAGAAATGATATTTTTTCCTGTTTTGGATTTTGGCCATAAACAAAGGCATTTACAGGAGGGGCCAGTGAGAACTATGGCTATGCTCTGGCCTGAGCTGAGGATACTGAACATTTGGTTAGGAATAGCATAGCCATTCACTGAGGATAATCTCAAGCATTCATCAAATGTACAGATGGTTTGGGGAGGTGTGAAGTACAGCATGCTAAGGCTGGAGTGAATTGTGGTAGGCCTGGAACCTGGACTTTCCCCATCAGATGAGATGAGATTGTAGGAGCATGTTTTAAACTATGGACTTAGGGGAACTTATCAGTTGGTCAAGGTTTAAGGGGGAAATGTCCAGAACCCCTTTCAACCACCATTTGGTAACCGGGGTATAGCCAACTGAAAATAAGACCCTCAGGGAGCCCCAGCCAGGCTGTGGTGTCCATACTCCCCTGGTATTATGGCAAAATCCACCTCCTGTAACCAGTGTTGTTTTGGGGCCTGGAATTCCTTACCTGTCTTCCTTTCGGGATGGACCCACAGCTAGAGCTCTGGCTGGTTTTCCCTGGTATCTTTTGTAAGTTCTTCCCAAGCATGCCCTAGCTTCCCTGAGGGCAGCTGTCTGAGCACAGGAACATTGAGATGCGTGATCTCGAGTCTCCAGAATTGTTGGGTGGATTTCAGTCAAGTGTCTTGACTTTTCAAATTGGTATTCACTTGGAAAGGGGTAACATGATAGCTCTGTGAGTAAAACTGGCTCATGCTTGAACCTGATGAATCCTAGCCAGTTCTAGGGGAGAAAGCCTCAAATGTTCACTTCTCAGTGCTTATATTCCCCGGGTATTCTAGTATTCCCTCAGGAGTTAGGCCTTAAACCCCTCCCAGCTCCCATCCAACTCATGTGCTAGTATCATTTACTTGCTTGGCCTCGAGAGTTGCTACACGGATCACTTTCTCAGAGGTTCTTGTCAAAATGACCAAAAAAGGAACTGTACCTATGGCCGC